CTAATTGCATCTCTGCTTTATTCTTCATTCTCTGTGTTTACTTTTCTCCAGAATGCAGCAGCTCCTTGCCCTTGGCATGAAGACCCCTTCCTGGGTTCCAGGGAGAAACAGTTCTGGCTGATCTGTGTTGTCAGGTGCACGGCACCCCTGATGGGCTTCGGGAGCCCCGCCGAGTGGGCCGGGTGTATCCTTCAGTTTCCCCTCTGCCCCCAGGATCAGGCTGTGTTGCCTGGAGGGTCACATTAACAACGGAAAGGAAAGGTGGTGAGAAGAGACACAGTACTATTGCAACCCCAGGTCAGAAGCCCGGGGTCTTCACGCTGATTCAGTCCCCATGTGCGACCAGGGTCCTCTTGCACACAGGGAACCTGAAGGTGGACATCCTTTGCCTCATCTGGGGTCTGTCCTAATGTCTTTTGCCTGCAAAAGATGGAGTGAAGGGAGAGTTGACTTCCTAAGGGCCGGGCACCTGACCTGCAGGGGCAGGGGTCTCTGGATAGAGGGTCCTCATTTGGTAATCAATAAGTTAAACAGATTCCTGGCACCAGTGGCTCATGCCTGTCATCTTAGCTACTCAGAAGGCTGAAATCTGAGGATCCCAATTCAAAGCCGGTCCAGGCAGGAAAGTCTGTTAGACTTTTATCTCTACTTAACTACCAAAAAGCTAAACATAGAATGGTGGCTAAAATGGTAGAGTGTTATCCTTGAGCACAAAAGCTCCAAGACAGAGCCATGGCCCTGAGTTCAATACCTAGGACCAGTACATGTGGATATGCATGCACACATGTGCGCACACAAACACACAGATGACCAGCTGCAATCCAGATCTGAAGATTACCCCCAGGTTCTGGCTCACAGCTCACAGCCCCGGGCATGACCCTCTGGCCCCATGGTTCCCAGGTGTAGACTTCTAGTTTCCTGAGACCTCCTATAGCCATAGAACCAAACAGACAACAACAGCAAAGAAAAAAAAAAAAACATAAAAAAAACTTCCATTTGAGTCTTGCTTTACAAATTCTTATACTTGAGATTACAGTATCTATTTTTACCTGATCAACCCTTAAATTCCATTCTATTCCAACCCCAGCTTCAAAGCATTCTAAAGGCTGTGAAGGTCAACTGTTTTATATCTAACTTGCTGTGCTAACAGCAATAAATTATTTATCTGTGCTTTTTTTTGGAGGAGAGGTAACACGAGTCTGTCTCTTGGGGGTTTCTGGAACACTTAAGGGCAAAACCCACACTGGGGAGTGTTATTGGAAGTGACTCCTGCCAGAGACTGTCCTTGCTGCCCTGACAGCAGTGGGTGTGAAGTATTCATTACTCATTCCCAGTCCAGGACACTGACTGTAAGGAAGTGGTATGGAGAAGAGGATTCTGGGTCAATTGTAGTGTCTTTTTTACACTCATGTGTAAACATATGCACGTCTTACCACTATGGATACATGCTGAGGCCTACCTCCTAGGCTCAGAATATTAGGTAAGATGATGTGTGTGCACCACACCACTGAAGTGTACAGTGCAGAGAAAACCATGTGTCACACCCACTACACAATCCAGACCTTGGTAGTATCCTAAGGACTTGGAAAAATGGATAGGTCAGCCAATGCTGGGATCAACTTGTATGTGTGTGTGTGTGTGTGTGTGTGTGTGTGTGTGTGTGTGTGTGCCTGCACACACACATGTACAGGCATATACACAAACCACTGCTGGAGGTTGAACTCAGGGCCTGAGCTCTATCCCTTAGCTGTTTTGCTTAAGGCTGGAGCTTTGCCACTTGAACCACAACTCCATTTCTGGCTTTTTGGTGGTTAATTGGAGAGAAGAATCTCAGACTTTCCTTTGAATGGTAATCCCTAGACATCAGCCTCTCAAGTAGCTAGGATTACACGCATGAGCCACCGGTGTCCTGCTGATATCAAAGTTCTTGGTGAATTTCTTGGAATTGAAAGCATGGCTCAGTTGGTAGAGAACTAGCCAATGAGCTAAAGTGTCAGGTACTGTCTTGGACAAAAAAGAAAAGAAAATGATTTCTTAAATTGGGATATATTGCTCTTCTAACAAAACACAGACTCTAGAATCTGAAGGATTCAATGAATTGTATATTAATTTTTTTTTCAATTGTGGGGCTTGAACTCCAGCACTGTCCCTGAGCTCTTCTGCTCAAGGCTAGGGCTCTGCCACTTTGAACCACTTCTGGGTTTGAGTGGTTAACTGGAGATGAGAGTCTCACAGAGACTTCTCTGCCCTGGCTGCTTTGACCGGAGATCCTCAGATCTCAGCCTCCTACTAGGCGTGAGCCTAATGCTTAAATTTTTAAATAGGGAAAAACTTTCAGTTCTGAGAAATAAAATGAGCTTTCTACGTGGCCCACAGCGCAGCTTGAGCAGAAAGAGGACTTCGCACAGCCGCTGGTGATGAGTTTTGTAGGCCGGGTACCAGACCCGGCTGCACAGACACACACAGGCTTGACCTGGGAGATCAATCTGGGGTGGCAGGACTGAGTTGTGTGACAAAGGCCTAGATGTATAGCTCTGCATTGCATGGGAGCGCATCACGCTTCACAAACGCCTGCTCAGCTGGCTGTGGGTAGGGTTGGTGCACTTGTAAGTCCTGCTGCACAGAAGATTGGTGAACCCCGTCTAAACTCAAGCAGCCTTGTTCTGAAAACTACCAAGCAAAATTCACGTGTGGCATGTGATGACGGGTGGCCACGGGGTATGTGAGATGACGACTTGAACAGAGTCCCTGGGACAGGGCTGACCCAGGACAGGTGATGAGTGGTCTGATCACACCGGCCCCCTCCCAGCCCATCTCCATGCGGACACTGGGGGTCCACAGTCACTTTCCCTAGGGGTGCTGGGGACTGCCAGAGTGGTGCCTGCGTCCCCGGATCAAAGTGTGGGAACCCTGGTATCCACACACCCTTGAGCTCGCACACCCTCGGATCTCCACACTCTTGAACCTGCACACCCTCGCACACACACACCCTCACATACACACCCCCACACCTGCACACCCTCACACACACACACCCTCACACACCCTCACACCTGCATACCCTCACATCTGCATACTCTCCTGCATACACACGCACACACACGCCCTCGAACCTGCACACTCATATTCGCACACCCTCAAGACTGCACACTCTTGGGCCGCCACACCCTCGGGCCCGCACACCGGCTGTCTTTGCAGGGTTGCGGCCCTCTATAAACTGCTCACGGTTAACGGAAGGAGCCCCGCGGCCAGGCCGGTCCAGCAGCTTGGAGGCCGCGGGGCCCCGCAGAGGTGCCACCCCGCCGGGCCGGTCGGCCCGAGCCCGGGAGGCGCAGACTGCGGGGCTCCCGGCCTCGCCAGCGTCCCGGGCTCGGCCGCGGCGCGGGCCGGGCTTTGTCTGGGGTGAGGGGGCGGGCGAGGGGGCCCGTCTCCGCGCCGCGGCCTCCAGCGTGGCCCGGCCCCGCGACTGCACGCAGCCGGCCCGCCGCCGCCCGGGCCGCAGCCGGACGCGGGGCCGCAGCTGGACGCCGGAGCTGGCGGGGCCGCGCCCCGGGCGCACGCGGTGGAGGCGCGGGGCCGGATCGTGAAGCGAGCACAGGCCGCGTGGTGCCTGCCTCCCCCCTCCCTGCGCCCGGCTGCCTCCTCCCGGTCCCCCCGGCCCGCGCCCTCCTCCCCCCGCCCGGCTGCCTCGCCCCCCCCCCGCCCGTGCCCCTCGTCCCCCCTTCCCCGGCCGCCTCGCCCCCCACCTCCGCCTGGGTCCCAGGCGCCCGAGTCGGCGCACCCCGGGGCCGGGCCTGCAGACCGCGCGCCCTCAACAGGACCGGCCCGGGCCGCCGCCCTCGGCGGAAGGCGGGGACGAGGCCGTGTGGGGTTTGTAAATAAAGCCTCACCCGCGCCCCGCGGCCGACATTTTGTGCGTGGCGGCTCTCGCTCGGTGATGGGCTTGGGAAGTGGCCGCGGGCCCGGGTCCACCTCTCCGGGCGGGGAGGCTCGGGGGCGGGCGGGGGGAGCACAGGGGGTGGGGGGCGCGGGGGCCGCGGGCGGGGCCGTGGGGGGCGCGGGTCGGGGACACAGGGCGGGCGGCGGCCTCCGCGCGGGTAACGGGCTGGATTAACAATGATCCCCAGGAAGCCCCGCGTCGTCCGGGACGCGCTGGGCCCGGGAGGCGGCGGGCGGCGGGGAGGGTCGGCGGCGGCTGGCGGGGCGGGGCGGGCGGCGGGGCGGTGGCGGGGCGGGACCGGCTCCTCATTCGTCGAGCCGCCGCCGCCCTCCGCCCCGGACTCGGGGCTGGGAAATTACAACTCCGCGGCGCGGCCGGCGCGGGAGGCGGCGGGCAGGGGGACCCCGACCCCGGCAGCGGGAGGCGGCGGCCGGGGGCACCCGGGCGGCTGGGCGCTCGGTCCCCGCCCGTCTTTGCGGCTTGGCGCGGCCAAGGTCAGGGGCGCCGCGGGAGCGGGAGCGGGAGCGGCCGCCGCGAGCCCGGGACGCGGCCCGTGCGCGGCCCCTCTCCGCCGGGGCGGGGCCGGCGGCGGGCTGCGGGTCGCGGAGACGCGGGGACACGGGGCGGCCGCCGTGCGGAGACCTGGAGGGCGGGCCCGCTGTCCCGGCTGGCTCGCGGGCGCTGTCCGCCGCCCCGTGGTGCTGAACCGGCGCGAGTCCGGCTGCCCGAGCGCCGGGCCGGGGCGGGGCCGGGCGGACGCGGTCCCGGCGCGGCGGCCACTTCAGCGGAGCCGAACACCGGATCCGACCTGGCCCTCAGCGGCCGCCCGCGGGCCCGGCGCCCGGAGGAGGCGTCCGGCGCCTCCGCCGCGGATCCGTCCCCCGGAGCGCCGCGCGGGCCTCCGGCCGACGCCGCCGAGGCCGGGGCGTCCAGGGCAGGCGTCGAGGCCCCCAGGCCTCGGTCCCCGGGTGCGGGAGGGCGGGCGCCGCGGGCCGAGAGAGGGGCGGGCCCGGGGGATGCACCCGCGCGCTCGCCCGGCGCCGCCGGTCCCGGAGACGCGATGGAGGAGGAGCTGAAGTGCCCGGTGTGCGGCTCGCTGTTCCGCGAGCCCATCATCCTGCCCTGCTCGCACAACGTCTGCCTGCCCTGCGCCCGCACCATCGCCGTGCAGACCCCGGAAGGCGAGCAACCGCTGCCCGCGCCGCCGCCACCCCCGCGGGCCGCCGCCACCGCGGCGCCCGCCCCGGAGCCCGAGCCCGCGGGCGCGGCCAGCGAGCTCGCGGACAAGCTGAGCCTGCACAGCGAGGCCGACAGCGGCTACGGCTCCGGCACGCCCAGCCTCAAGTCCCCCAACGGCGTGCGCGTGCTGCCCGCCGCCCGGGGCGCCGCCGGCTCCAGCTCCATCACCTGCCCGCAGTGCCACCGCAGCGCCTCCCTGGACTCGCGCGGCCTGCGCGGCTTCCCGCGCAACCGGCTGCTGGAGGGCGTCGTGCAGCGCCACCTGCAGAGCCGCGCGCCGCCCGCGCCCGCGCCCGTGCCCGCCTGCCAGCTGTGCGCGCGCGCGCCGCCCGCGCCCGCCGCCGCGCGCTGCGAGCAGTGCGACGTGCTCTACTGCGCGGCCTGCCAGCTGCGCTGCCACCCGGCGCGCGGGCCCTTCGCCCGGCACCGCCTGCGGCCGCCGCCCGCCGCGCCCGCCGCGCCCGCCGTCGCCGCCGCCCGGAGTCCCGCGCCCGCGCGCCAGCCCGCCACCTGCCCCGAACACGAGCGCGAGCTCTACAGCGCCTACTGTGCCAGCTGCCGGAGCCCCGCGTGCAGCCTGTGCCTGGAGGAGGGCCGGCACGGCCAGCACGAGCTGCGGCCGCTGGGCGCCGCGTGGAAGCAGCACAAGGTGGGCGCGGGGTGCAGAGGGGCCCGGGGGGCGGGACGGGGCTGTGCGGGACCGGCCGCGGCGCGTGGGGCGCCGACTCATCCACCCATTGACTCGGCCTAGCTCTCTCACTCATCCCAGTATTCTCTCACTGACTCAGTCCAGCACTCAGTCATCCAGCATTTGCCCACTGACTCAGTCCAGCACCCACTCACTTCAACACTCAGTCACTCCTTGATTCATCCCAGAAGTTGGTGACTTGAACACAGTGAAATCAGGTGTTCCAGCCAGGAGTTGGGGATGGTCAGGACATTGTCCTGTCCCCTTTCCCTGGCATCATTTTATTCGACACAAAGCTCTGAAGTGGGGCTCTCACCCCACAGTCTGACCAGTTAGTGGCCTCTGCAACATCCCCTCCTCATTAAGTCGGGCAGGACTTAATGCTAACGGTCACAGGACTTAATGCTAAAGGTCACTGTTTACCCTCTGGGTAAAAGAAAAAGTCACTTCCTGACATTCCAGTGTTACTCCGGTAGGAGAGCTTCCTGGGATCTGTCTGCAGGGTAAGCAGCCGTCAGCCCCTACCCAAGGCACGCCCTGCTTCCTGCCCAGCCACCAGCACATTCTGTCCTCACAGTGAGGCGAGACAGGAGGCCTCATGGGATATGTGGAAGCATTGGGGTGCACATCCTGGAGAAAGGGTGAGGATTTCCCCTGGAGACCTTCTCTGGCCCACCTGTGGCTCTGCACAGAGCAGAGAGTGGTGGTGGAGGGAAGGAGCCAGAGGCTTGTAAGAGCACCAGGCGGCCTGCCCCAGCCTCCAGGCCAGGGCATGCAGAGTGAGAAGCCAGGAAAATTGGGTCCCAGGGCGTGGGCAGGCAGGACCTTCCCCTCTGAGCGGAAGAGGGCAGCAGGTGCTCTGCCTTCACAGGGCTAAGGTGGTGCCCCCACCCCCTGCCTGCATTTCAGGCAGTCTCCCCAGAGGGGCCAAGGGGCCTGCAGGCTGCCCAACAGGACACAGAGTGTGTGTGAGGGTGGAGGAGAGCCACAGGAACAGAGCCAAAGCTACCTGGTCATCCAACTGTTAAGTGTGCAGATGGACAGGGCAGCACAGGGCAGAGCTCATATGGACGGATGGATGGACGGACGGGGCAGTACAGTGGAGAGCTCATGTGGATGGGGCAGCGCAGGGCAGAGCTCGTGGGGACAGATGGATGGATGGGGCAGCACAGGGCAGAGCTGGGCTCGCTTGTTTATGTGTGTAAAGTACATCGTCCCATCTGGTACAATAAGCATATGCTGTTGTTGTAGTTTAACGTTTTTAAACGAACAATTAGTGACACACACACACTTAGGGAAACATTTAGAAATATACCTTGAAAGGAAAATTTGTATCCTAGTCTGAGGAGGGGATTGAAGGTCAAATCCCCACTCACAGAGCTTTGGCTCACAATTGGAACCAGTTTGTACCCTTGCCCCCCCAATCCCCCATATGTGGCCATATATGGAGTTGCGTTTGGTTGCGGTCTATGTGTGAGAGGGGGTCAGCTAGCAAGAGGCCAGATGCCTGCTCCACATCCGGGAGTCAGGGAACCAGCCCCAGAGGCAAGCAGTGAGGAGCTCAGAGTCGGGGGGGGGGGGGCAAGAGGGGGCTCCTTCTCTGGGTGTAGCCTCTGACACAGTCTCCAACACATCCTTTGCTCTTTGCTGTTTCTAGGCCCCCTTATTTAAAGCAGTGAAGCTGCAGTGGGCTTGGGGCAGCAGCCCCGACACCCATCCAGCCCCACTGACTTGTCAGCAGGTGATTTCTAGCATCGTTTGTGTGCATACCACATGGTGTTGGGCTGAATGAGGGTGCCGGCTTAGAATTAGCTTTCATTCATGTGACATCCGGTTGCACATTGCTTTGCTAGGACTGTAGCTGCCTTTCTTGTTTCATCCTTCGAGTGAGCTGGTAGCATTTTACAAATGAAGAAATCACTTGTGAAAAGGCTGTGATCAATTACCAAGGCAAGAGCCTGGGTTGTAAATCTCACATTCAGATTTCACAAGCTGTCACAGTTTCACAGGCTGGAGAGCCAAAACTAATTTTGGGTATCGACACTCAGATGTTCAGCATGGAGAAGCGTAGAAACCGAGAGTGTCAAGATGGGGAGTGGCACTCTTAAGAGACGTTAAGCATCTCGGTGGAAACTCAAACCAGGAGTCTTGCCAGAGCTCCGCAGTCAGGCCAGGGAGATGACGCTCATTCCTAATCTGGGGTCCACAGACCTCACCCAACAACGCAAGGTCACAGGACACATGGGGCAGGTGGGCATCTGCCCATGGAGTGGGCAGCGCCCCCCGTGGGGATGTGGCTGCGGAGGATCTGGAGTCTGAATTATGTGTGTGTGCTCCTGGAACTACGGCTCCTGAATCCAGCAGGGATACTGTGAGACAGTGAGTGTTTGTTTACAAAATGGAAATCAGGTTCTATGGACCTTCCACAGTTGCTCTGCTGTTAGAGCAAGGGAGATCATAAAGCACTTGCCAGCCACATCTATGTACTCAGGGCCAGGGGTGAGGGGAAGGAGAGTTGGAAGAGGAGGAAGAGGAAGAGGAAGAGGAGGAGGAGGAGGAGGAAGAGGAAGAGGAAGAGGAGGAGGAGGAGGAGGAGGAGGACGAGGAGGAGGAGGAGGAGGAGGCCGAGGAGGAGGCCCTGTTGAGCCCTGATTTGGCTTTGGTGATCGGCACCCAGGCTGCCTGGCTTGTTCTGAAAGATAAATAGGGACACTGATTCTGCCACCCTCTTTGGCAGTGTAAACTCCTCGGCAAACCTGACAATTTTTGGGCTGCTGTTGTTGTCTAAATATCCATGAACCTGACAAAGCCTCACTGGGCTAGTAGCAGCTCTGCCCTAAGAGCATGAGGCCCTCGGCCTAGGTTAGTCACTGTGGTTCCCACCACCCCCTGCTGCGATGGAACTTTCTATAGGGTTAGTGGCTCAGCGGGAGACATCTATGATATGGAGGGCTGTTGATTATCTCTTTTTTTGTTTGTTTTGTGCCATTCCTAGGGCTGGAACTCAGGGTCTGGGTGCTGTCTTGTGCATTTTTGCAAGGCAGGCACCACTTGAGACACTACTTCTGGATTGTTTTTGTGATTAATTGGGTTTAAGAGTGAAGAGTGTCACCGACTTTCCTGCCTAGCTGTTTGTACTGACATCCTCAGATCTCAGCACCCCCTCTCCCCCCCCCACACAAACATAAGGTTACAGACATGAGCCATTGGCACCTGGCTGCTTATCACCTTTAAAAACAGTGTGGAAACCTTTGGATGTTGGCCAAGCACATTTTATATGGCTCAACCCTTCTGAAGAATTTCTGACCTGATTTCTGTGTTGTGAGGTCTGGGCAGGGAAGGTGGCTTTCAGGGAGGCCCTAACGCCCACCTGTCTCTTGTAGAGCTCTTCCTGAATCCATGTGTGTGCTGGGGCACCTCCCTAGTGGACACAGAAGGTCGGTAAGGCACAAACCCCTGCTCCCAGGATGGCCTCTGAGCTGGGTGTGGGTGGCAGGCTCTGCGAGGAGGAGGCAGGTGCCCTGAGCCCAGACAACACATCTGCCCTGCACCACCAGAGGGAGCCAGGCAGGGTCCCCAAGGCAAGGATGGTGGGTTGGGGAGCCCAGGAGCAGGGACAAGGTCTGCAGGACAGGTCTGTCAGACCGGAATGCACGGCAGTAGAAAAAGCCAGGCCCTCATCACATCCCATCTGTCCAGACGGTGTGCAGTTTAAAAAAAAATAGGTGAAGGTCGGATTAGGAAACAAATACTTGCCCTTACCCAATCTCTCCATACAAAATCCAAGAAGCCGATGAGCTATGAATGATCAGAAGTGGTGTGGTGTCCTCCTGAGGGCTAGAAGAGAGAGCTGCCCTCACTCAGAGGCGGGGCCCATTTGTTGCCATTTGGTTGGCATTTGGCATGTGTCCACATTACTGAAAGGGGCAGGAGCTGCGGCAGTGGGAGGAGCAGAGAGTCTGGCTAAGGCTGAAGGTATGTAGCTGTGAGAATAGCTCGTGGACCACCGAAGGTGGGGTTAAGGTAGGGAGTGATGTATGTTTGTTTATTGCTTGTTCTGGGGCTTGAACTTGACCTGGGTGCTGTCCCTGAGCTTTTGCACTCAAAGCTGGCACTCTGCCACCTGAGCCACAGCTCCACGACCAGCTTTTCTAGTGGTTAATTAGAGATGAGTCTTATGGACTTTCCTGCCCAGGCTGGCTTCAAACCATGATCCTCAGCTCTCACCCTCCTGAGTAGTGAGGGTTACAGGTGTGAGCCACCAGCGCCTGGCTGTGATGTTTGTTGTTTTCCACTGTTGGGAAAGGGCAACTGAGGGACTGATGCAGAAGCAGGAAGGCTAACCGGGGGCCTTGACAGGAAAAGGCCATCCAGAAGTGCACGGGAATTGCCAGGGAGACTGCCCAAGTGGAGAGATACTGTCTCTAGCTGGGGGCCTCTCAGCTTCTTGGCCTTGTGGTTTGATTTTTTTTTATTAGTTTTGCAGAGTTGTTTTTTATGTCTTTGTTGTCTTCTCTGCTGGTATTTCTTCTCTGTCTCTGTCTGTCGGTCTATCTGTCTCTCTCTCATCCTTCTGTGAGTCAGTGACACGTGTTAGTTTGATATCACCCTACACAGTTCTCTCTTCAGTGATCTCTCTTCTTCTGTGCTGCAGTCTGGATAGTGTCTCAGTGCAGTCCCTCCCTGGGGTGTGTCATGGTCACAGCTCCGGCTTGCCTCTGTCTTCCGCAGACCCTTCTCCTCCTCCTCCCAGGCAAGGGGCCCTGAGAGTGGCCCCCAGAAGAGTTTGTGCTTCTTACTAGGGTTTTCCTCTTTCCCCTTAGCTGGAAGGGATTCTTGCTCTGCTCCCAGCTGAGGTTACCGCTCTTCTACGTTATGCCTCTTGCATTGTATGGACCCTTGCAGGCTGCTCAAAATCCCTTTGAAATAAGTAAACAAGTCCATGAAAAATACCGTATGCTTGTAAGACACTAGGGAGAAGTAGGGGCCTCTGGAGAACACAATTAAGGGCCCCATCTTCATAGTGGTGCCGGTAACACTGTGACCCTAGACACCATGCCCCAGCTGTGAATCAGTGCCCCATGCCTCAGTGTCCTGAAACATGGTGCCAGTGACTTAGTACCAGTGCTGCAGTGTGTGCCATGCCACAGTGCCCCGAGAGAGCTGAATGCTGCCCGGGACATGTTGATCAAGAAACAGATCTTCATGGTCACTGGGACTCGCTGCTGCTCCTCAGCTCCTAGACAACAAAGGGACCAAAGGACTACAAGGAAGAAGACCTCCACACCCACTGGCTGACCTGGAGAGGCCTCTGCTTAGCTCCCTCTATGGGAGTGGACATGTGTGAGGAAGGCCCCAGGCCACAGCCCAGTGCAGCACAGGCCAGTTATATGTGGGTTCTCACCCAGCCCTGCCTGCCCAGCAGGGCGCCAGGCCCAAAGCCCACTGAGGCTCATTACCTGTGTCACACAAAGCAGGGACAATGGAAAGTGACATGTTCCATAAAAGTGAGGGGACTTGAAAAGCCATCCTTTTAGCACCTGAGACTTACAGAAACAAGCTGGGGACAAATGCCGGATAAAAGGATCTAGAAGCCACATGGAGGGGTACATCTAGCTTGAGATGAAAGAAGGATTAATCTTTAGCTTCATTTAAATTTCAATGGAGATCAGGCTGTAATCCTTTTGAAGATTCTTGTAAATTTTCACCTTTTACTCTGTTTGCCAATGAAACCTGAGCAAGGAACTATGATAAGGAAAGACGCTTCCTAGAGGAAATGGCAGAGGAAAGGAGTGTGTGTGTGTGTGTGTGTGTGTGTGTGTGTGCGTGCGCGTGTGTGCACACGTGCGTGTGTCCATGTGCATGCATGTACATGCTGATCCTGGGGCCTAAACTCAGGGCTTGGGTGATGTCCCTAAGCTTTTTGCTCAAGGCTACCACTGAACTACTTGAGCTACAGCTCCATTTCTGACCTTTTGGTAGTTTGTTAGAGGTAAGAGTCTCATGCCTGCCTAGGCTGGCTTTGAACCGCGGTCCTCTGATCTCAGCTAGGTTTTCAGGCGTGAGCCACTGGTGCCTGGCAAAAGACGGATTTAAAAGACTGGTGCAGAAGTGAATTCTGGATGGGTTGTTAGCACTGGTTATTTAAATGGACAAATGGGCTCATCTCTCTGCTCATGCCCAGGGAATCAAGAGCAACACCAAAGCACAGACAACTGGTATTCAACATGTATGGAACCTTACCACAGATGAGCACAGGTGAGGAGAGAGCTGGGTGGTAGGTCAGGCTTCAACAGATTGGAGGGACTCACACAGAAGCAAGGAAAGAGCCATCCAGACAAAAACTGACTGCTCCTCCACCCCATTTGGGCATCAAGGTGGAGCTGGCCTGAACCAAGCAAGGCCTAGGTCACAGGACCGCAAGGCCTGCCTGTTCTACCCAGTACATGGTTTCTGTATATTGTATAGCCACCATCCTGGAGGGCCCAGGCTCCGTACATTGGCATGATCACAATCCTGGCCCAGGATTCTGCATACCAGACACCCTACCCGCTCTTGAGCCTGTTGAGCTTTGACCCAAGGTACTCTGGCCTTTCTCCATGCAAGTATGAGTTGGTGTGCTCAGAGTTTCTTTTCTGCCTATAGGGTACTCCTAGGGCCTCCAGGGCGCTTGCCCACACTGGAGACAGCTTGAGAAGTAAAATCCTCGCTGACACATAAGCAGAGCCTGAAGGAAGGAAGCGGGGAAAGCTCCAGCTTTCTGGTCCAGTTTTGGTCTATCCTTATTCTACTAAAAATGCAGTTTCTGCCTGGTGATTGTGGTGCACACCTATAATCCTAGCTACCTAAGAGATCTGAGGATTTGAGGGTCTGAGATCTGAGGACTGCAGTTCAAAGTCAGCCCAGGCAGGAAAGTCCATGAGACCCACAGAAAACTGGAAAACTGGAAGTGGCGCTGTGGCTCCAAATGGTAGAGCACTAGCCTTGAGCAAAAGGGCTCAGGGACAGGGCCCAGGCTTCGAGTTCAAGCCCCAGGACTGGCAAAAAATAGGTAAATAGAAGTAAGAATGCAGTTTCTGTTAAAGATCGAGGCCATCGTGTGTTCTGTGGCCAGGCTCAAGATAGGTCTGGTTGTGCGAGGGATCTGGTAGAACTTGGGATGCCACCTGAGGCCTGAGCTCCGCTTGCCTCTCCTGAGAGCAGCGGCCAGTCCAGCCTCAGAGCCACCTCTGGGCTCCACTGGCCACACTGCATCCTGCAGGATGAGGTGTCCCTGGCGGAGGGACTTGCTGAGGAACAGGTACCGTCCCCAGACCCCCGCAGGACCCCAGTCCACCTGCCATCCGTCACGTGGGAGGGACCCTCAGCTCAAAGTGAAATATATCTGCACTACTCCTCAGTCTGAACTGAGGAGGGACAAGCCTGCACAGGAGAGGGCCGCATCCGGCCAGGACTCCTTGCCCTCTTGTCCAGGGCCCTGGGAACAGATCGGCGGAGCGTTCCTTCCCTGTGCACACCCTGGGGTCACAGGTCACTGAGCCCTGCCAGAAAGCAGGTGTATGCTACGGTATCAAGTAGAGGGTCTGCCCGTAGACGAGCTTCCTGCCGACCTGCACACGGCGCCCCCCTCTTCACTCGCCCCAGCACCGCCGCCCTCAGCAGTGTGCCATGTCTCCTCCAGGCCCAGCTATCTCAGGCCCTCAATGGAGTTTCCGACAAGGCCAAGGAAGCAAAGGAATTCCTGGTGCAACTCAAGAACATGCTGCAGCAGATCCAGGTAAGCCTGGCGTTGGGGCATTTGGAGGGGCAGTGTGCCAGGCACCAGGTGTGCATGGGGGAGGGGCAGTGTGCCAGGCACCAGGTGTGCAGGGGAAGGGGCAGTGTGTCAGGTACCAGGTATACAAGGGGGAGGGGCAGTGTGCCAGGCATCAGGTGTGCAGGGGAGGGGCAGTGTGACAGGTACCAGGTGTGCAGGGGAGGGGCAGTGTGACAGGTACCAGATGTGCAGGGGAGGGGCAGTGTGCCAGGCATCAGGTGTGCAGGGGAGGGGCAGTGTGCCAGGCATCAGGTGTGCAGGGGAGGGGCAGTGTGCCAGGCATCAGTTGTGCAGGGGGAGGGGCAGTGTGCCAGGCATCAGGTGTGCAGGGGAGGGGCAGTGTGACAGGTACCAGGTGTGCACGGGGAAGGAGCAGTGTGACAGGTACCAGATGTGTAGGGGAGGGGCAGTGTGCCAGGCATCAGGTGTGCAGGGGGAGGGGCAGTGTGTCAGGCACCAGGTGTGCAGCAGGAAGGAGGTCTATCAGTGCTGAACAGGAGAAAGCTGTCAGTTCTGCTGTGCAGCCTTGGAAGCTGAAGGTACGGCTCATTGTGACATGCACACACACACACACACACACACACACACACACACACACACGGATGCTCAGTGGGGAAGGGAAGTTCCGTGATGCCAGTGATAGTCACGCAGCTAGAGGCTGTGCAGTCCTGTGTAGTGGTGTACCCAAACATGCCCAAGGAACGAGTGTGTTACCTTAAGTTAAAACAAATGAGTGTGCCAGGCTCCCAGGCCCTGACAAGTGTATGAAGCACAGCGTCTGTGCGGTGATCTGTGTCCCCCAGGCAGAGCTGCTGCCCTGTGGGGGACAAGCTCTGAGTGCCCCGGCGCCTGGATGGAGAGACTGAAGCCATCCTCTATTTTGTTTGGTCTCTGGGTTCGAATCCAGAGCTATGTACTAGCTAGGCAGGTGCTCTACCACTCAAGCCACCTTTTGCTCTGGTTGGTTTTTGACTAGGCTCTCATATTTCTATCTGGATTGGCCTGAGCCGCGATCCTGTTACTTATGCTTCCTGTGTAGCTAGAGTAATGTGCACACATCATCACCCCAGCTTCTGATGGTTAAGATGAAGTCTCATCAACTTTTTGTCCCAATCTCCACCTCCTGAGTATCTGGACTTATATTTATGAGCTACTATGCCCAGTTTCTCTCTCTCTTCCCTCTCTCTCTCCCTCCCCCCTCCCTCCCTCTCTCTCTCTCTCTGTCTGCCTCTCTCTCTCTCTCTCTCTCTCTCTCTGGTACTGTTCCTGGGGCTTGAACTCAGGGCCTGGACACTCTGTCCCTGAGCTTTCTCAGTCAAGGCTAGCACTTTACCACTTGAGCCACAGCTCTACTTTCAGCCTTTTTGATGCTTAATTGGAGATAAGAGTCTTATGGACTTTTCTGACCCAGCTGACTTCAAACTGGGATCCTCGGATTTTAACCTCCTAAGTAGCTAAGATTATAGGTGTGAGACACCAGGCTCCCGACTTTCTTTTTCTTTTTTGACAGTGGTCTCACTGTATAGTTCAAGCTAGCCTCAGATTATTGATCTTCTTGTTTTAGTCTCCCAAGTACTTGGATCACAATTGTGCAAAACCAAGTCATGAAGTCTCTGATGTTTTACCAACATAGCAAGTGTCTTCCACCACAAGATATGAAAAACAGGGCAGCTACACAACAGAAAGATCTTCTCTCCATCTGGCTGGAGGTGTAAGGCTATGGTGCAGGAGGGCTGGTCCTCCCAGGCCTCGGCTTGCACATGGCCTCTTCTCCTCATGGCCTCTGGTGGTTGTCCCTCTGTGTGAGTCTGTGACCTAATTTCCTCTTCTTGTAGGACACCAGTCAGACTGGATTAGAGCCAGGCTGATGGCCTCATTTTTACTGAGTGACCTCTTTAAAGGCTTGTCTGCATACACAGCCATGTTCTGAGGTCTTGGCTTGTGATCGGCATATTGTCTGGGGGACAGGTTACCCTTGAGCAAGGGTCTACGTCCACACTGATCTCGATGAACAAGAGAGGCTCTGGCAGTGGTTTGTTTGCCTTACTTTTTCCCAACTGTGAAAAGCAGAAGCACATACCCCAGAGGTCCTGGAAAGCTCAACACAGCCCACCAGCTGAGCTGACCCTGCATGCTTGCTCCTGCGTTGCCTTTTGTTCTATGCCCTTCCAACCACCTCTGGGCTCTTCCTTCTTCCCCACTGCACAGGATGTGCTCTGTGCGCCAGGTGACTATGAGCTGCGTGGTGTGCCGCTCGCCGCGCCCCTCCTCACTCACTCGCATCCCATCCCCAAATTTCCCACATGCAGAGGGCTCTGGGGCCAGCTTTGTGGGAGGTCTGCTTTGTGTACACCCTTGCCCGATTCTGTCTGCCCGCTGCTGCGCTCTGCTTCCCTAGGAGAACGGGCTGGACTATGAAGCCTGCCTGGTCGCGCAGTGCGACGCCCTGGTGGACGCCCTGACCCGGCAGAAGGCCAAGCTGCTCACCAAGGTGACGAAGGAGAGGGAGCACAAGCTGAAGGTGGGCACCGGCCCCTCTTTCCTGTGGCGCCTAATGTGCCCGGCAGAGGGGCGTACGCCGTTGGGGCTGGTGATCTTGGGTGAGCGGTTGTGTGGATGCACGAGTGACTGAATGCGTGAATGAGTGAGTGGATGTGGTGAGCAAGGCTTGGTGGCCCAGTGACCTTCAGAGGCAGCGAATGCCCACATTGTCTCTCCTGAGCCAAGGCAGATGGCACAGTTTTCACCCCAGGTCCATGTGCCCCCACCTCCTGGGTGCTCCTCTGTCTGTCTGACTCTTGGTCCCCAGTCGCAGAGCTGTGGCAACGCTGGTCCAGTCCACCTGGATTTCTGTCTCTGCCCCTTCCTCAGGCGTAATGTAGACAGCTAGTTTCCACAAGGTAGGCAAAGCTTGCTCCCCCATCCACGAGTCCCTGGTCAGGTGGCCCTCGGATGCCCTGGGCTGGTCAGCGGGGCACTGTCCCAGGTCTGTCTGGGCCAGAGACACAGAACTGGAAACCCAGGCCTTTTACGCTGCGGTGGCCCTGAGCTCCATCCCCAGACCTTGGGTTGTGGATCAGGGTTTCCCTCTGTAGCCTTGACCGCAGTCCTCAGCCTCAGCCTCCCAAGTGCATGGCTTGCAGGTGTGCACCAACATCCAGCTCTGCCTGTGAGGAGAGGACACGTGGGAGCAAAGCACCTCCCATCGTGTGATTGAGGGCCAGCCGAGGGTCAGAGCAGGGCAAGGCGCCGGCCACAGCTCAGGGGCTTCCCAATGAGGCCTTTCTCCACACTGCTGCCCAGAACTCAGCCTGCTGAGCTGGACCTGGGGTGCATGGGAAGCTCAGATGGGGCAGAGCCATGCAGGTCCTCATGGGAGTCTTCCTCGCAGATGGTCTGGGACCAGGTCAATCACTGCACGTTGAAGCTGCGCCAGTCCACGGGGCTGATGGAGTACTGCCTGGAGGTGATCAAGGACGATGATGCCTCAGGGTTCCTGCAGGTGAGTCCCCTCGGGCACGCCCTCCCACACTGGCCCATGTTCCAGGCCAGGCCTGTCCCAGGCTGGGGGCCAGATCCTTGACTTGGTGCTGCCCAAAGGCACAGGCTCTGCCCTTGGCTTGGACTCTCCTAGCTGTGGCCTCATCCTGCCTCACCCATGCAATGTGGTCTCTGGGACCACCGGCCTGGCCTCACCTCTCCCCACAAGTGGGAAGGACAGCCTCTGGCAAACGTGCTGGATGTACTGTTGCCGGAGGCAGCTGCTGCCCACGTGGCCTGGGCCTCCCTGTACAGTCCTGCCGAGCTGGCCTTGCCCTGGTGGCCAGTGGTCAAGCCCAGTAGTGAGCATGTGAGGGCACTGTGTCAGAATGGCTGCACTGGCCTAGCTTGGGTATGGGTCTCAGGGAGATGAGGAATTTCCTGGGGGCTCCCCCAGGACAGATGCCTGAGACTTCACGTCTCCAGATGCAAGACAGATGTTCCCAGAAGGCAGGTCAGCAGAGGAGAGCCTGAGTGTGATTTATGTCCTGCACTGAGTACGTGTGGAGAACAGGACACACTTCCTCCACATGTGGGACAGATGGCTAGTATGTTCTTAGAATGTGCTACTTTGCAAAGGACTAGACCTAGCCAGGCAGACAGCAGGTGCTCTTCATGTATTTTAACAGAGCTCTGTTTACTTAAAAAAGAGGGCGCTTCAATTGCTTTAACTATTGGTGTTCTTTACGTTGACACACTGTTGAGCTGTGAGGAGAACACACCACACTGCCCTCCTCACCAGTGACCACCCTCCCCATCACTGACCGCCCTCCTCATCACTGACTGCCCTCCCCACCGCTGACCACCCTTCCCACCGCTGCCTGACTTCCTCAGCCCCCTCCTCACCACTGACCACCCTTCCAACCACTGACCGCCCTCCCCACTGCTGACCTTCCTCCTCACCGCTGACTACCCTCCCCACCACTGACCACCCTCCCCACTGCTGCCTGACCTCCTCAGCCCCCCTCCTCATTGCTGACTGCCCTCCCCACTGCTGACTGCCCTCTCCACCGCTGGTCACCCTTCCCACCGCTGCCTGACCTCCTCAGCCCCCTCTTCACAGCTGACTGCCCTTCTTAGTCCCCCTCCTCATCACTACCTGACCTCCTCAGCCCCCCCTCCTCACCACTGACTGCCCTCCCCACCGCTGACCACCCTCCTCGGCCCCCCCCTCCCCACCGCTGACCACCCCCCTTGGCCCCGTCCACAGATCTCTGATGCCCTGATCAAGCGTGTGCAGGTGTCCCAGGAGCAGTGGGTGAAAGGCGCCCTGGAGCCCAAGGTGTCAGCGGAGTTCGACCTGACCCTGGACAGCGAGCCTCTGCTGCAGGCCATCCACCAGCTGGACTTCATCCAGATGAAATGTAGGGCTGGGCTGCGGTTGGCCTGGCTCAGCTGGGGCCTTTTCTCAACAGGCGTGTGGTCTGGGGCCAAGGTGGCACTGGTGGGAGCCAGCAACACACAGCGTAGTGGAGGGGAGGGTGGTCTGGGGCAGGGTCCCTTGTGGACCCGGAGTCCCCTCAGCACCCAGCACAGTAGGGAGCACTCCCAGATGGTCCTGTGTGACAGTGGGGAGCACTCCCAGAGGGTCTTCTGTGACAGTGGGGAGCACTCCCGGAGGGTCCTGTGACAGTGGGGAGCACTCCCAGAGGGTCTTCTGTGACAGTGGGGAGCACTCCCGGAGGGTCCTGTGACAGTGGGGAGCACTCCCAGAGGGTCTTCTGTGACAGTGGGGAGCACTCCCGGAGGGTTCTGTGACAGTGGGGAGCACTCCCAGAGGGTCTTCTGTGACAGTGGGGAGCATTCCAAGGGTCCTGTGACGGTTGGGAGCATTCCCGGAGGGTCCTGTGATGGGTGGGGAGCACTCCCGGAGGGTCCTCTGTGATGGTGGGTAGCACTCCCGGAGGGTCCTCTGTGATGGTGGGTAGCACTCCCGGAGGGTCTTGTGACAGTGGGGAGCACTCCCGAAGGGTCCTCTGTGGTGGTGGGGAGCACTCCCGGAGGGCCCTGTGACGGTGGGGAGCACTCCCGGAGGGTCCTCTGTGACGGTGGGGAGCACTCCCAGAGGGTCCTCTGTGACGGTGGGGAGCACTCCTGGAGGGTCCTGTGACAGTGGGGAGCACTTCTGGAGGGTCCTCTGTAGACTTCAGGAGAAAGTAGACCATTTGCAGACCCACCCATAATGTATTGTCTGAGAGTAGCAAGGAGGCAAGGCAGGTGGGGGTGTGGGGAGAGGCAGAGGTAGAGAGGTAGAGGAGCATTTCAGGAGGTAGAAGGATAGAGGCTGGAGTAAAGTTTTTTTGTGTCCCAAGGAGGGACAAGAAGTTCAGAGGCAAGAGCAGAAGAGACCGAGTGCAGAGCAGCACAGCAGCAGGACAGCCTGGGGGGAGGGGTCCGAATGGAAGAGGCCGGCTGGAAGGTGGGGTGGAGGACAGCCGAGTGGCACACAGCAAAGAGCTCAGTACAGCTGGCACAGCTCAGCGAGAGGCCAAGTTGGCAAGTGATGTCCAGAAGGAGAGGCTGCTCTGCTCCTCACCTGGGAGCCTGAGAGGTGGGGGGACCTGCGAGGCTTCCAGAGCCAGAGACCATGCCGGGCAGCCTAGGCCCGCAGGGGGTGTGGCCACTTGTAAACTAAGGAGTGTGAGACACAATGCCACACAGCACTGTGTGGCACCATGTGGAGGTAGCGGGAGGAGGAGGCCTGGAAGTAGAGGCCCTGAGGGAGGAGGCTCAGGGGATCCAGAGAGAGGTGGAGAGTCTTGGCCACGCCACCGCCCCAGAGCACAGCCTTGATCGGGGCAGACCTCGTGTGACCTAGCATGACCTCGCTGTCGGCTCCTGCTTGGCAGACTGAATGCGGCCACTTGTGCTAGATTCCCTTGCTGGCTCCCCTTAAAAAAAGATGGCAGCCAGCTGGGAAGTTTCAGGTGTGACCAGATCCAGGACAGACGCCCCCCCATTCCCCTCAGTGTAACCTCCCTTGCCTGGACCTAGTCCCTGGCACCAAGCCTTCATCACCTTTGGAGGACACTTAAACCCAGCACCCCATTCTTAATGGGGTGAAAGGGGTGCTCTGCTCCTCCCTGGCTGAGTGCCATGGCTCTCCACAGGCAGACCGTAGGAGGGCTTCCTTCTCCAGACACTTGCTTTGCAGTGTCTGTTCGTCCCCTCCTGGGGCTGAGTGAGGTACCTGCTCCCCAGCCCAGGCACCTCAAACCTGGGGTGGCCACAGGGGAGGAACAGAAGCGTCTTGCAGGGTGGGGCTGGAGCTGTCAGTGGATACCCGCGCTGACGGAGCCATTCCTGACGCAGTGCCCCCCGGGCCCCTGCTGCAGCTGGAGAAATGCTGCACTCGGAACAACAGCGTCACGCTGGCCTGGAGGACGCCGCCCTTCGCCCACAGCCCCGCCGACGGCTACATCCTGGAGCTGGATGATGGTGACGGGGGCCAGTTCCGGGTGAGCTGCAGGCTGGGGAGCTCAGGCACATGCAGGCACTGGGCCAGGACAGGAGGAGGTTGCTCTGTGAGGGCTGACAGATGCCTGGCAGGGCCAGCTCAGAGGCGCCGCCTGCCTGTTCTCCTGACCAGCAGGGGGGTCTAGAAGACTTGCTGTGGTCACACCCTCTATGATCTTTACAAGCACCCAGGCTCCGTGACCATCACTACCCCATCTGCCTGGGCTCCAGGACCAACACTATCCCACCCCTCCACAACCTCCCCATCCACACCCCTCCACGACCTCCACGTCCCTACCCTTCCACATCCCCACCCCTCCACAACCTCCCTGCCTGCCCACGTCTTCTGTGGTCTTGTGGCCCACCACACCCTCAATGTGCTGGGAGGCTTTCCACTGGGAGTGTGCTAGCTCAGGGGCAGGGTGTCTGGAGAAGGGCAGCGTGTGTTACTGCAGCACTGGTTCTCACGGGCCCTCAAGAACCTTGCAAAGTGCTGGATTAATAGAAGACTCATGAAAACTGGGTTCTGGACTGGGTGGCAATGAACTTGTGCCATTGGTGGGCTGTGGGCAGGATGACTGAGGCTGAGGGCCTTGTCTCCCTTTCCCCTCTGCCAGGACCTGGGACTCAGCAGAGTGGCCCAGGGTACTGAGCAGCAAAGCCCAGATGTGTGTGAATCCCCAGGCCTTGCAGATCACCCCCTTTCTAGACAACCAGGCTCACTAACCCCAAAGCTATTAAGTCATACCTTGCTAGGTGTTGTGGCCAGGAGAAAACTGGACCTCAGGGTTGGGCTGAAGAGTAACAGGCAGCCAGACGTTGTTGGCTCGCTACTCAGGAGGCTGAGATCTGCAGATCAAGGCTCAAAGCTTGCCTGGGCAGGAAAAGCCAAGCAACTCATATCTTGAGTTAACCACCAGAAACTTGGAATTGGTGCTGTGGCTAAAAGTGGTAGCACTAGCCTTGAGCAAAAAAGCTCAGAGACAGCGCCCAGACCTGGAGTCCATGCCCCACAAATGACAAAACAAACAAACAAACAAGTTTGAGGGGCTGATGGTGGCTGTGGCTCTTGCAGGAAGTGTATGTGGGCAAGGAGACCCTGTGTACCATCGACGGGCTCCACTTCAACAGCACCTACAACGCCAGAGTAAAAGCTTTCAACACCGCCGGTGCCGGGCCGTACAGCAAGACAGTGGTCCTGCAGACCTCAGATGGTGAGACTGCTTCCGTGATGGCCCCCCTGCGTCCTTGCCTCTAGCAATCATTTCAGAGGAAGCGTCACTTCCCACTCCCTTGGGGTCTGGGCACCAGGACAGGTGCTGCCACCCTGTGGGCTGTCAGAGAGAGCCCAGCCTCCAGAACTCACACATTGTTTACCTCTGCCTCAACCTTCCACCCCTGAGGTTGGCCACTAAGGCCAACTTCCTCCTCTGCCTGTCAGAGTTGGCAGCATTTGAAGGCGGACAGAGGCTGAGGCTGGGGGTCTGAGTGCAGGGCTCTTTTGCAAGGCTTAGTTGGAGAACAGGAAACAGGAGAAATAGAGCAGGAAACATGTGCATGTGTGCACGTGCGTGTACGCACAATCCAGAGAAAGGCTGCTTACTCTCCGATGGAAGCGAGTCAGTCTGTGTCCCTGAGCTCACTGGGAGCCACTGGCCTATTCTGTTTGTTGACCCTGCTTCTTTCATCTCCTGTGCAGTGGCCTGGTTCACCTTTGACCCCAACTCTGGGCACCGAGACATCATTTTGTCCAATGACAACCAGACGGCCACCTGCAGCAGCTATGATGACCGTGTGGTGCTGGGCACAGCCGCCTTCTCCAAGGGCGTGCACTACTGGGAGCTGCACGTGGACCGCTACGACAACCACCCCGATCCCGCCTTTGGCGTGGCCCGGGCCAGCGTGGCCAAGGACATGATGCTGGGCAAGGACGACAAGGCCTGGGCCATGTACGTGGACAACAACCGGAGCTGGTTCATGCACTGCAACTCCCACACCAACAGGTGCGCTCGCCCCACCCCTGGGCTCCTGCCCCCGTTTAGGAATGAGGGTCCTGCGACCACTGTCCTACTGCCCCAAGCCAGGCGTTGGGACGGGGGAGGGTTTGCTGGGCACTGTGGTCTCTGCACCCGCTGGCTTCAACTTCAGGGAGAAGTGACCCCTTGCCTGCGGCCCAAATAAGCACGCACAGCTCTTCCATCACTTAGCGGGCCACACGATTGTGCTCTGCGGGGTTCTCAGCTCACAGCTTTCCTTCTGGTTCTGGGATACCTTCTGGTCCACCACCCACTCTGTGAGTCACTGCAGAGCACCAGCCCCGCCCGTGTCCGCCCCGGGAGTAAGGAGCCAGGGGAACAACACAGTGTCTCTGGGGTGTCCAGCAGCAGGCCAACCTGCTTCTGCTGCAGCCAGTCTTCCTTGAGGAAGACGAGGTAAACCAGGCCAGCCTGGCCAGGAATTTGCCTGAAGGTCCTCAGGTCTCGCTGCTCATTAGCCCTTCTGATGGTGACTCCAGCAACCCAGAGAAGAGGCAACCCTCCCCCCCCCCCCGCACTCCCCTCCCGCCGCTCCCGAGCTGCAGGGAGAGCTGGCAATATAAACTGAGCAGTCGCTGAAGGCCAGGAGATTAGGGCTGAGCAGGTGCCACAGGTTGAGCTGGCTGACCCAGGGCTGCAGACTGGATGGGTGCTCACCCTCCTGCCCACTGCAGAGCCAAATGCACACCCACTGCTCTGCTACCTTAAGCCAAACTGACACTTGGGCACAGGAGTGCATGGGAGTGTAGCCAGGGGTGTGTGTCGAGTGTTCTTTCCTGTTGCCAGATTAAGCACCTGGTCCCCAGCCTGCACAGTCCTCACAACAGCACTACCACTGAACTACCACTGAGCTACCACTGCACTACCACTGAGCTACCACTGCACTACTACTGCACTACCAGTGATGAGCTACCACTGCACTACCACTGAGCTACCACTGAGCTACCATTGCACTACCACTGAGCTACCACTGAGCTACCTACCACTGCACTACCACTGCGCTACCACTGAGCTACCACTGATCTACCACTGAGCTACCTCTGCACTACCACTGAGCTACCACTGAGCTACCACTGCACTACCACTGAGCTACCACTGCACTACCATTGCACTACCACTGAGCTACCACTGTGCTACCACTGAGCTACCACTGCACTACCACTGAGCTACCACTGAGCTACCACTGCACTACCACTGAGCTACCACTGCACTACCACTGTGTTACCACTGCACTACCACTGAGCTGCCACTGAGCTACCACTGTGCTACCACGACGCTACCACTGTGTTGCCTTGGAAATTAGGAGACAGGTACCAAGACCAAACTTCAGTAGGAAAATGTCATCATGAAACCTGCTAGTATTTTGAACAATTAATACACTTTAATTTTACAAAGAAACATGTCAGGGGATGAGAGTATATGCCTGTAGTCCTAGCTGTTCAGGAGACTAAGATGTCAGGGTTGTGATTTAAAGGCAGCTGGAAGACAGTTATCTCCAGTTAGAAAGCAAGAAGCCAGAGCAGGGGACATTGCTCAAAAGTAGAGTGCCAGCCATGCCTAAGCAGGAGTGTGAGGCTTTGAGTTCAAGCGCCAGTACTGTACTGTACTAACTAACATATGGGCTGGTGGAATGGCTCAAGTAATAGAGCAGTTAGTAAGTACAAGGCTATGAGTTCAAGCTTCAGCACTCAAAAGACAGACACACAAAGCCAATGGCTCACACCCATAATCCTAGCAGCTATTCAGGAGGCTGAGATCTGAAGATTGTGGTTCAAAGTTAGCCCGGACAGGAAAGTCCATGAAACTCTTACTTCTAATAAACTATCCAAAAAGAGCCGGAAGTGGAGCTGTGGCTCAAGTATTAGAGCTGTAGCCTTGAGAAACAGCAGCTCGGGGGCAGCACCCAGGCCCTGACTTCAAACATACACAACAATGAGCACAAAAGAAAAACCACACTACCACTATAAAAAATGCCTTTCACAACTAAAGAAGTCAAAAGGAGGAAGAGTGGAGGGGAAAGTGAAGAAGAGAGAGAGGCCCAGCCACTGGGAGAATCTTTGGTGCTATCAGGAATTAGCCAGAATCCACATCTCTGCCTGTGTGGGCAATTCCTAAACCCCAGAGTGAGGGCCTTTGCCAGCCCGGCAGCCGTTTGGGGCCTCAGAGGAAGCTGGAGGGATGTGGAAGCCAGCAGAGAGCGTAGCAGGTGTGGGCGCGTGTGTGGAGCACCCTGCCTAGGTTTGCCAGTTGCTCACTGAAAGCATGGGACCTGGGACCCAGGGCTGTGCACTGCCATCTGGTGGACAATACCGGAATAGCCCTAGCAGTGCAACAGGACCAGGACTAGGGCTCTTAGGGGACGGGCCCTGGTTGGCCTCCACACCTGTCATGGCCGTCTGCCCCAGCAAAAGCCCAGCCCTAATGAGGAATTGTTCTCTAAAGGCCCAGCAAGGTTAATGCTAAGCAGGAGCTCACCTATTGGAAAGGGAAGTCTGTGGATGTAGCCCTTGGGGTCAAAGGCCAGATCAGCCAGGGTGTTCTCCACTTAGTGCTCCTTTCATGACAGAGGACATGGTTCTCAACGTCTGCCAAGCCCGCCCCATCTGAGCTCAACCTGGAGGGCCTGACTCCCACGCCAGCCCTCTTGGGAGCCCCTATGCTGGTTCTGGGGAGGCCGGCGAAGGGGGGGGGGAAGCCTTCACTACCCTCCCCCAGAAAGGGGCCAAGTTAGTTCTTTGAGTGCCTTCTGCACTCGTGCTAATTGCTCAGTGGTGCACTGTGAGTGGGATTCACCGTCAGCCCTATTGGCGGGGAGTACAGCAGCCCCTTCTCCCAGGCACCCTCTTCGAGGCCTGCTAATAGGTGGGAAGCGTGCTGCGACATCTGCAACACCAGCAGGAGGCGCTGCCAACACCCGAGTGCTGGTGTTAGCCACAGTGGTCCGGAGCCCTTCCTGCAGTGCTGGCTGGGGCTGGTGACAGGCTGTTCTGGGTCTTCCCTTGCCAGGACGGAAGGTGGCGTGTGCAAAGGAGCCACCGTGGGCGTGCTGCTGGACCTGAACAAACACAGCCTGACCTTCTTCATCAATGGGCAGCAGCAGGGCCCCACAGCCTTCAGCCACGTGGACGGGGTCTTCATGCCCGCCCTCAGTCTCAACCGCAATGTGCAGGTACCTGGGCCCCATCCCCCCCCAGTCCCAGCTGGTCTGGCTGTCCCCTCTGCCTGCCCACCTGCCTCCTCCCACCTCGGGCACTCCCTGCAGCCTGGGACAGGAGGGAGTGCTGGGTGCTGGGCCAGTCCTCAGCGAGGGCTGAGCACAGAAAGATGAGAGGCCAGGGGTGCAAGGGGGAGGAGAGCATCTGTCTGTAGGAGAGTCCTCCTGTCCTGTGCCGGGCAGCCCCTGTCTGGTGCCCACTCCCTGCAGAATGGCAAGTCCACAGCAGTCACCTGGTCATTTGCTGACAGTGCTGGAGGCACTCCAGTGTGGCCACTCCTTCCTCAGGGCCAGCAGACAGCCGCGGCACAGGCCAGGCCGTGGCTGTGGGGAGACAGTGCCACGGATGCAGGACTGCGGGGACCGGGCCACCACTACTGTGGTAGAACAGAGCCTGAACAATCCCATGGGATGCTGCTGTCACTGCCGCCCGGGACTGGCAGCTGACCACCAGCCTAGGGGCAACCAGGGTGGGGCAGGCGCCGTCTTCATGCAGGCAGAGGGCACAGGCAATGGCCTGTGCTGGCACTGGGTGGCCTCCACGGGCCTCTCCTCCCCCCTCTCCCCCCTCTCTGCTGCTCTTGTGCATGTGCACACGTGTGTGCAGTGGAAGTGAGGTCTGTCTGCATGTGGGGCAAGGGCTCCACCATGGCGTGCTACCCGAGCCCCTCACTTCTCTTCCAGGTCACTCTGCACACAGGCCTGGACGTGCCCACAAGCCTGGGGCAGCCACAGCCGGCAGGCAACTAGCCAGGCCTCCCACCACACTCGCCGAGCCCAGAGGCCCCACAGGCCATGCGGGTGAGCCCCACTGCAGCGGAACGGCTGACACATGGAGGGGGCCCCTCAGCCAAGGGGTGGGGGTTGTCTGCCACGGTCAGCGGTACACGCACTGTGCATTTCACAGATGCCACCCCCATACCTTCCTGAGCGGCTCTGGAGAAAACCTCTGCTTTCCCACACCTGCTCCTGCCTCTGTCTGCTGAAGATTTTGAGACTGGCCTTGGGGGACGGAGTCGGGGAGCTGCAGTGTCACCCTCCTGAGCCCCAGCTGGCATTTCTGCTGGAGGCTGTCTGTGGCATTTGGCCCTGGAGCCTTTGGTACGTCTGTGCACTGGCGCGCCTGGTTCCAGACTGAAGGAGGGAGATGTCAACTATTCATGTTTAATTTCTGCCTGTCTCACTGAACTGCTGAGAACCTTTTAAAAGGGCTTCCTTCGGGCCTTTACTAATCAACCAGCCCTGCGCATTCTCTCCTTTCTCACACTTTCTGACACACACAGGCACGTGCAGCGGTCTGCTAAATTTCACCCACTGTTAGATTCTACCAATGAAACACTAGGATTTGAACAACTGTGATATGTGGCTCCTCTGGCTGGAACTGGCTGGCCAAGGACTTAACGGGAAACTGAGACTGAGCCACTTCTCTGAGCTAGACCCCTCAGGCGGCTCAGCACAGAAGCTGGAAACCCTAGGAACCCCACATTGCCCCTGCTTGGCCTCAGGACACCCCCCTTGTCGGCCTGTGACCGGCGGGGTGAGGGCGTGGCTGGGAGGGGAGGCAGGGTGGGCTGGCTCTCCAGGGTCGGGGCAGTGCTCTATTCCTATCTCTGCGGCACAGCGCCCCGTGCTGTGTCCTGAGGGGCCGCTTCTTCCAGGACGCTTTAGGGGCCTTCAGCACTCTCCCCTCCGTCTCTCCATCTGCACCAGCTGGTCACCCTCCTCTCCTTTTCCGGAATCTGTGCCCTCAACTATTGGACTTGATGTTGAGGGAAGCCTCGTCCATTTGCTGGACTGGTTGGATTTTTCTTGGCTGCACCTGCACACTGGCACCCGCTGCACCTCCTCAATTGCCTCCCTTCACACCCTGTACCTGTTTCCTGAGCATCTGCTACTGGGCCAGCAGATCCAACAGTCCTACCTCAAAGCTCTCGCTCGAGGCTCACCATCTCTGCAGAACCGCCCGGGAAGGCTGCTGTCCAGGGGCTGCTCCGCACTTCGACCCGGCCTCCATGCCAGGCCCAGAAGCCATCTGCTTTGTGGATGCCCTGGTCTTGCCTTGGGTCCTTTCTCCTCCTGCTGAAAAGTTTCTGGCTGTTTCTCGTGTCCAGAGTCCTGTCCAGAGCCCACACAGCAGCGTACAGGGCTTGGGCAGCTGTGTCCCCGGCCTCTCTGCCTCCTCCCTCCTAAAGCTGAGGCCGTGGCCAAGGCCTCTGGACTCTCTGGCTGGGAGGATGGCAGCAGAGGCCTGAAGCCTGAAGACTGACACACCATGGCCTCCCTGGGGCAGAGGAGCTAGGCCCAGATGCCGGTGGCCTGGGAATACCACGTTCTCTTTTAGAGAAGTCCAGCAATCCTGGCGATGTGGATGAGTAGTGGAGTGGAGGCCCTGGGCACCAGCCTGCCCGCTCACCTCAGGAGCAGGAGCGGCCCAGGTCTGTAACACCTTAGAGGAGGAGGAATTCCCGCCCTGGTGGGTGGTATTCCATTCTTTCCCTCTTACTCTTATTTTCTTTTTTCAATGCTGGGGTTCAGATCCACAGGCATAAACCAGGCATGCCCCCCTAGAAGGCTTCCCCAAGAAGTTCCCTGTAGCTCAGAGGAACAGCCCCTCCCACCACCAGCAGCATGGAGGGGGGTAGGGGCTGGGCAGCCCCTTGCCCTCGTCTCCCCAGAAGCAATACAGAGGGAAGGGACACAGCCCCTCCCTGCCCTCACTGTTCAGGGATAAGAGAAGGGCAGGGCCATGCACCTGTGGGTCTAAGGATTCAGAAAAGCAAAGAAGGAAATTCCCCTCCTGGTGGCGGGAAGGCCCCTGATCTGGGAGTCCGGTTCTTGCCTGGTCGGTGATAGGACAGTGTCTGGTACACAAATGGCAGCACAGGATGCTTCGGCTAGGCTAGCTGAGAAAAGATATGGTTTAAATCTCTCAAGTACTTTCTATGAGAAAGGAATTTTAAGAAGTTAAAATGTCAGGTTGGTTGAGTTGTGAACAGCACCTCTGTAATAGTGCTGAGTTTGTTCTTTGTCGCAAGCCACGCTGGCCTCTCTACATACTCCTCCACTGGACGTACCCAGCATACTCACCCCTGACACCCCGCCTCCCACATTGCAGGGAGGGAAGGATCCTACTTTTGGAGGACAAAACACCCGACCTCTAGGCACTGATGCCAGTCCAGGCTGTGCCTTCAGCCCTGGATGTGTCTTGACAGCACCCTTAGCTGCCCCACGACCCAGCACTGTGGCGCACCCTTGGGAGACGGTGCCATGGTCACCGTATCCTGCCCTTGCGGTGCCTGGCCCAGCCAGAGCACTCCTGGGTTGGGACCCGAATGCAGAATCTATGTGCATTTTTCCCAGGGACTTTGCATCTAAGCCTTAATTCTACCTTGGAGTGGAAGGCTAAGTCCTCCCAGGAGGCCGGAGTTTGGTGGCAGGGCCAGCCACCAGCCATGCAACACCACCCCGAGGCAAGGCCTCTTGCAGGTGCTGGGGAGGCGGGGCTTCCTGTCTCTGGACTTTGGGGGCAGGGTCCTTAGCAACACTAGATGCTAGTAGCAACCCTACTAGTTGTGGTAACTACAAACACTTAAAAGACTTAGTCGTGTCCCCTGAGGCAGCCCAAGTCAAGGACTGTAGGTGATGGCTTGAGTTCATTGTGTTGACATTCAGAGTGATGCTGGTACCCACACCTGTGTCACATGGAAAGCCTGTCACAAGGCCGTGGGCCTTCATGATAACCCGAGAGCAGGATTCTCCACAGGTCTTTGGTGGGGCTGCTATAAATCACCAACAGAAACCACTGTGGGGCTGCCAGTTGTGCTCACTGAAGAGTCTAGCCAGTCCCCACCTCCATGGCTGGTAACAAAAGCCCCTGTCCTGTTTCCTTGGCCACGTTTTACTGTACCTTCACAGGAACTTCTTAATGGGTTTGTGATCTTTAAATGGTTAAAGGAATAAAATGGGATATTGTGAGAAGATACCTGAAGCATGTGCTCACCCTGGAGGTGGAAAGTGAGCTAGAAGTGGCTGGTTGTCCCTGTAGACATTCCGGTATCCAGCAGTCTAGGTGAGGGACCCATATGGGTGAGATGAGGCTGAGACAGGGGCCAGTGGCTCACGCCTGTAATCCTAGTTGTTCGGGAAACTGAGATCTGAGGATCCTGGTTTGAAGTCAGCCCAGGCAGCAAAGTTCATGAGACTCTCACCTCCAATTAACCACTAAAAAGCCTGAAGTGGAGCTGTGTCTCAAGTGGTAGGTAGAGTGCTAGATGAGCAAACAAAGCCCAGGCCAAGTTCAAGCCTCAGGACTAAAACCAACACCAAAAACAAAAAAGTGAGGCGCACGGGTCAGATACTCAGTGCAGTCCGCTCCCCTCCAATCTGGCTTCGATCCTGGTTGAGTGCATGTGTAAGAAAATCTACACCTCCTGTGCCTCAGTACCTACCTGCGATCGCCCCGTCTCCACTGCTGTCGAAGACCGTCCTTCTGTAATCGCTGAAGCCCAGGCTCGTGGTACACCTTCCCCAACCACAAACCTGTGTGGAGATTTCCGACATCTTCTGACTGAATGTCTTCCCACCCAGCAGCTCCCTGCTGCCGGACCTTGTGGAGCAAAGCAGCATTGCACACTACTTTCCCGCGAGGACCTGGTTACTGGCTCTGTCTGGAGCAGTGGTTGGACAGCCTGCCGGTATCCTACTTGTGTCCCCTGCCTGGGGCATGGTGTGCAGAACCTCCTGATGCCTCTTCTGACTCCTTCATCACCTTCGTGCTGGCTGGCGCCGTTTGCTCCCTAGCTCTGCAGCGGGATGGGCCATAGAAGCCACAGGTACAAGTGTAGTGAGATACTAGCAGGCTGAACCTAAGAACAGGAACCGGACAGTCACAGGTCGCTTTCAGACAAGTGACAGCTGCTGGGCTTCTTGGCCCAAGGGGGGAGGTCCTTAACTTCTCCATGAAAAATGGGCTAGGAAGTCTCAGCAAGGGGCTGGCTGCCAGCCCAGCTCTGGGAAGAGGCCTGCGGCCTTGAGGGAGGCACTGAGCAGAGGCCGGAGGCAGGATTGAGTTGCGAGGACGCCACTGCGGCTGTGGGGACAGACACTGGGTGGCCTGGGATGGCCTTCCCACCCCTCACCCCTGAGCCCGGACTCAGCAGTGAGAGGGAGCAGGTGCCAGCAGGCAGAACACGTAAATGCATGATGTAGATCACCGTCTTCGCGCTGAGCTGTGTATTAGCATGAGAGGTGTTTGTGTAATGTTGGCAAAGGAATTTAACAAGAAGCAAAAAGCTGTATGTCCTTGATTTGGCTGTTGACAGAGCCCCCTTGTCCAACCCTTCTTTCTCTTCTCTCCTGTCACTTTTTGTCTTCGTGGTTGGTATTCTGTGGCAGCCCTTGGTTCTGTGGCTGTTCGTGTTCCACTTTAAACACGGAGGGGTGGGCAGTGGGAAGGAAAAGTACGTTTTTCTAATTTTTGTATTGGTATCCACAAGCGTTTGTATTTTTTGAATTGCGAACACTGTTCTGGTCTTTGGGAGTTGGCTTAACTTCCTTTATTACCTTTTGAGAAACTTGAGTTTTACCACATTCTTAAGCAGATTTGAAATAAATTCTTTTCACACTGCCAACAATGGAAAGACAGGTGTGCTCTGGAGTGACGGCGGAGGGCTTGGTATAGTCTTGCCCACAGTACCTGATGGTGCGTGTGCAGTCTGTGTGGCTCTGCACTGGGGGCAGGGAAGGGGACTGGCCAAAACCCCGAGGTGATCACATAACTACACGTCACCACCTTCCACAGGGCAGAAGTCACAATAAATAGGCTGGAGCTCAATATCACTTATGCTATATCCAGATCAGCTGCGAGCTCTGCAGGAGACATGAGGAATATGGTCCAATGCTAGTTCAAGTAGAGTAGAAGACACCTGTAATCCCAGCTACTCAGGAAACTGAGATGTGAGGATCACGGTTTGAAGCCAGCCTGGGCAGGAAAGTCTGTGAGACTCAACTCCAGCTAACCACCAGAAAAATCAGAACTAGAGCTCAGAGTGCTAAGAGCACTAGCCTTGAATTGAAAGGACAGTGCCCAGGTCCTGAATTCAAGCCACATGATCCTGCGCTTTCTCCTCTCCCCCCCCCCCCCAACATACCAGAACTCTTATCAATCCGAAAGTATGGCTCAAGTGTTATAGCGCCTGCTGGGCTTGAGTTCAAATTCTAGCATCAACAAAACATAAACTGATCTGGAAGGAGGGGTGATGCTGGGTGTTCAAACAGGATAGGAACTACAGGTGCCAGGGGTGACACTGCTCTGTTCCCTCAGGCTGACTCCATAATGTGATCATGTGCATGAGCCTGTAATCCCAGCTTCTTTGGAGGCAGAGAGGATTATATTCAGAGGCTGGTCTGGATCTTATCTGAAAAACTAAAAGCAGAAAGGGCTGGAGGCTGGCTCACGTGGTAGAACACATTTCTAACAAGCATGATGTTCTAAGTTCAATCTACAGTAGTTGCTTCTTTGTGCCTCGAGGCCCTAACAGGGAAGAAGTGACTGGGATTATCGAGTCACACTGCCATCAGGGACTAGGGCTGCAGCCCTTCCCTGGTGATGCCATCTGCCCTAGGGCCAAGTTCTGGGGGCCCCATCTCACCCAGTTCTGTCCAGTGTCCTACAGAGCAGTTTGGCCACATCGCTCCTATGTGTAGACAGCTTGAAGCAATGTCTGCCCAGGGCACATGGGGACACATGACGAGGAAAGCACTCACCCTAGATACCAGGCCAGGGCTCTTCCTTAGCCCTTCCACCAGTCCTCACACATGACCCCTTTCCTGCCACTGCTGCTGACCGGGCTGGAGATCCTACCGACAGGCACCAAGCTCTGGCTCTGGCTTGCCCATGCTTTGTGTGTGCCCAAAGCCTCTTTGCTTCTAGAACACTCACTTGCCCCAAAACTGCCCTTCTAATATTTGTACATTAATCTAATAATGTGGAATAAAAGCCAAAATAAGTCATTCACACCTGGAATTGGCATGTGAAATGATCTGTGCTGAGGTTTGGTTGCGTGAGGCACACGGTGTGCAGGTCGTGGGGATCAGGACTAACTGACGACAAACCCTGCTCTACCTGGCTTAGCATCTCCTCAGATCATTTTTAGCTCTTAAGAGTAGTACCAATGCTGTCATGCTTAAGACACACACGTGTGAATATATATTCATACAGACACAAGTACACACAAGCTACTTTTTTTTTTTTGGTCGGTCGTGGGACTTGAACTCTGGGCCTGGGCACTATCTCTCAGCTCTTCAGCTCAAGACGAGCGCTCTACCACTTGAGCCACAGCACCACTTCTGGTTTTCTAGTGATTTACTGGAGATAAGAGTCTCACAGACTTTCCTGCCCGGGCTGGCTTTGAACCGTGATCCTCAGATCTCAGTTTCCTAAGTAGCTAGGATTATAGCCTTGAACCACCAGTGCCTGGCTACACATGCTACTCTAAAAATTCTAAGTTTCCAAATGGCCACAGCCTTTCAAAAGAAGCTTGGAAGTTGATGGCCTGCCTCATTCCCATTTTGCCAGCACAATTCCATCTTTGTGAGTGAGTTTGGTGATGCCTTAGATAGTCCTCAGTCTTTTGATCAAAAGTGTATAATTTGCTAGGCTGGGATCTAAATGGTTTGGCAATTAAAAAAAAAAAGCCAACAAGTGGTAGAGTGCTAGCCTTGAGCTGAAGAGCTGAGGGACAGTGCCCAGGCCCAGAGTCTGAGGCCCTATGACCGACAAAAGAAAAAAAAAAAAAAGAAAAAGAAAAAGAAATAAAGGCCAAAATTGCTACCATCATGCATGAATTTTCTTAATGGGCCACAAACTTTGAAAAGCTCCCAACACCCTAATTAAAGGCAACGTTAAAATACACATACAAGAGGGAGGCGAGGGAATTCAGGGTCACCACCCAACTTCCAACACCCCTTAGTAACGAAATATTTAAGAAAATAAAAGAAATACATACATACCAGCTTTGTGGAAAGACAACCTCCTTAAATATAAAAAGTACAGCTAGGTAAAGCAGTGGCTTCCAGGAGGTGACAGCAGAAGGGGTTGTATACCAAATCAGTTACACCGCTCAGTTATTTAGTAATCAGGCACACACATTACAAAAGCTGTGTTTTATAGAATGTTTTACAAAATAAGTTTTAATTTAACAATCTAAAAATGAAAGCTGCTTTTCACAGGACGGACACATGACTCTTCTTAATTCCTTCATGTAGCACACAGTCACCCAGATGCCCACCAGCAGTGCTGACATGGCAGGAGAAGACATATGGTCAGTGCACCAGGCGGGTGGCCAGCAAATACACCAGCTTATGCGCTGGCCAGGGTCTGTACCAGGCAGATGCTTCTGCAGCTAAGAGGGATTTCTGCAGGATGTCTTTCTCAAAGGTCAAGGCACATGGGAGTATGTGTGAAGTCCAGAAGTCTAGCCAGCAGACGTGGGGTCCTGCTAGCAGTCACTTGATCCCATTCTTCATGTCTGATAAAGCACTTCATTTAGCCACTCGGGAAGAATTTATTTTCTTGATATCAATGGGGCTCAAAATCAATGTTCCGTTTTTGAATTTCCCAACCTGTCCAATCTGTCCACTTGACAAAATACTGGGGGCCAACTTCTTCTTGGCTTTCCTGTGTTCCAGGTGAAAGAAAGGTGCCAGGCAGTGAGGTGTGGGAGGAGGCACAAGCCACTCAGCTGCCCGTAAACGCCTCCCCTCCCATGCAGACCCTGGCCGCTGCAGCAAACACTTCCTGCTTCAAGGCCTTTTGCACATGCTTTCTAGGCTTACATCTCCTTCCTCAAGGGATGTCCTGACCTACCTACCCAGTGATATTCTTATTTTTTTTTTTTGGTCAGTCATGGGACCTGAACTCTGGGACTGGATGCTGTCCCTCAGCTCTTCAGCTCAAGGCTAGCGCTCTACCACTTGAGCCACAGCGCCACTTCCAGCCTTTTCTGCTTATGTGGTGCTGAGGAATCGAACCCAAAGCCTCATGCATGGAAGGCAAGCACTCTTCCAATGAGCCGTCTTTCCAGCCCCCAAGTGGTATTCTTTAACCATGAGCCACTGCAGCTTCTTCCTAGGACCTGTGAGTGCTGTGGTCACCACACCTGTACATCTCCCTCCTACATACACGTTCAAGACAGGGCTCCCACTTGGTCAACCCAACAGATACTTGTGGCCTGGACAATGACCACTTTGCAGCATACACAAGGGCAGAGGGGACCTAAGAAAAAGGGTTGAGACCTGATTCTTTTTTTTTTTTTTTTTTGTCAGTTGTGGGGCTGACCTCTGGGCCTGGGTGCTGTCCCTCAGCTCTTCAGTTGTAGACCAGTGCAGCACTCTACCACTTGAGCCTCAGCACCACTTCCAGCTTTTTCTGCTAATGTGGTGCTGAGGAATCGAACCCAGGGCCTCACGTAAACACTCTACCACTGAGCCACCTTCCCAGCACCGAGACCTGATTCTTGAATAGTAACTGGGAGAAGAGCAGGGACTGCAACAAAGTTAGGGACGTGGCTTCAGTGTCTCATGCCTATAACCCTAGCCTCCCAACTGAAGGCTGAGATGTGAAGATTACAGTTCAAAGTCATCCCCCAAAGTCCATGAGACCCCTATCTCCAATTAACCACCAAAAAAAAGCTACAAGTGGAGCTGAGGTTCAAGGAGCAGAGTGCTAGCCATGAGCTAAAAAAGCTCAGGGAGCATTCCAGTCCCAAGACCTGCACACAAACAAATACACAGTCAGCCCTGGGCCACAGGCGTTACCCAGCTCTGCAGAGCAGGCAGCACTGCGTACCAGTGGGCTCCCAGGAGGGGAGGCCAGGTGGAGACCCCAGCCATAGCACATGTGACTTGGGAGAAGGCCCCAGTCAGCTTTGGGGCAGCTAGTCTTGGGCGGCAGTGGCTCATCGTGATCGTCACCTTGACCAGACCAAGAGACGCCCAGATTACCAAAGCACAACTCTGGTCATCCACGGAGGCTTGTTTAGAGATGTCTAGGTCCCAAGGGCACTGGCCTCATCAGTGGTTTCTAGTATAGGTGTATTATTGAAAGATGGTGGAAAAGAGAAAGCAGGGCCTTTCAGGAAGATTTTTGCGCTGGCAAAAATTTCTGTTTCCTAGATATTGCAATGGACCAAACTTCCTGCCTCTGAACCCAGAACTACAACAAATCCTCCCTGCTGAAGCGGCGTCAGTCAGGGTTCAGATCATATACCCCAAACCCACACAGATGTTTACTAAAGCTCAGCTTCAGATCCTCTCACAGGGGTGAGCAGGGTAACTACTGCAAAGAAGCAACATAGTGGGCGGTCTCGAACAGGCTGCCGCACTGCACCCTTTCTAGACACCAGGTCAGAACTAAGAGGGCTTAACTAGGGCTTGGCCTTGTACCCACTACTGTTACTCACCTGTCCTCCTGCAGCTTTCTCTTCTTTTTCTTGAAAATATCTGTATCCTGAGCCTGAGTTTAGAATTTAAGACAATATATGTGATGTTAGTAGATAATGGAGAGTCAAAAAAAAAACTGCAAGAATTTGGCATCAGTGGCTCATGCAAGTAATCCTAGCTACTCAGGAGGCTGAAATCCAAGAAATGTATCTCAATGCCAGCCTGGGCAAGAAAGTCCATGATACTTTTATCTCCTATTAATCACCCTAGAGCTTGAAGTTGAGCTGTGGCTCAAGTAGTACAGTGCAAGCCTTGAGCATAAAAGTTCAGGGACAGCACCCAGGACTGGCATACCCAGAGACAGTAGCAACAGAGCTACCTGGCTACCATCTAGTCTCAGGATGCTTTCCATGTGGCCTCAGGATGACAGTTTCAGTCTCACCCACATCAAGTGTTCCCAGCGAGTGTGAGCGAGCATGGAGCTTCCCAGCCATAAGCCTGACGCCCCAGCTGGAGTTAGCAAGCATGGCTGGTCCCAAGTAAAAGAACCATTTCCTGCCGGTCCTGGCTATCCTAGTTTAAATGTGGAAGACATCACACTTACCACTCTCTTTTCTTCTTCCTTTGCTTTTTTCCTCTCTTTGATCTGTGTCTGCAAAACCTTGTAATTCACATAACTATTTTTGGGAGGCTAAAATGAAAGAATCAGGACAGACAATCAGTGTTTATTCTGCAAAAGCGTCCCAGTGTCCTCTGCTCTGTCTTAGGCAGCCCTCACCTTGGCACCCAGCATGATGGCACGTTCCTGTTCCAGCACTCTTTCTTTTCCTTTCCCATAGCCCGTGATCCCAAAGCGGTGCACCTCCAAACGCGCCTGTGGACAAACACAACGTGATCCATGCCTCCTGCGCCACGTCTGCAGAGTGTCTAGTTCAGTGAGGGGCGTGGTGGTATTGGGAGTATATCTCGTTCAGTGAGGGGTGTGGTGTTATAGTGAGTGTATTGCATTCATTGAGTGGGCATGATGGTATCTGAGTGTATCTTGTTTAATGAGGGGCGTGGTGGTATCTGAGTATATCTCGTTCAGTGAGGGGGATGGTGGTATCCTGAGTATATCTCATTCAGTTAGTGGGTGTGATGTTATCTGAGGGTATTGCGTTCAGAGGGATCTGTCCCTTGCTACCAGACATGCAAAATATTCACCTCCACCATACGGCTGTCTACTAAAAATATATAGTAAGTGTATTCCAAATAGTGAAGACAAACATAAAATTAACTCTAAGTAAATTAGCAATTGCCAATACATACCTTTTCTAGGTTAAATTCTTGAATATCCACATCTTTCTCAAAGATACTAGTGTTAGTCTGCAAAGAAAAGAATTACTTAAATCAACTGTTACTACATCATGGTATTTATATTTGTTCCTTTCTTATTTATTTTTGTTGGTCCTGAGGCTTGAACTCAGGGCCTGGGCTATGTCTCTGAGCCTAGCTCAAGGCTGGCACTCTACCACTTGAGCCACTACTCAGTACCATATACACAGAAGAAGCCAGAATTGGCGCTGGGGCTCAAGTGGTACAGTGCTAGCCTTTAGCAAAAGAACCTCAGAGACAGAGCCTAGGCCCAGAGTTCAAGCCTCAGTACTGGCAAACAACAACAACAAAAACAATGATATATGGCTCAAGTGTCAAAATGCCTGCCTAGCAAACTGAAATCAAGTTAAAAATCCCAACACCAGCTGAGATCCTGTAATCCTAACTATTCAGAAGGCTGAGATCTAAGGATTGGGAGTTTGGGGTCAAGTGGTAGAGGGTCTGTCTATTAAACACGAGGCCCTAAGTTCAAATTCCAACAATGAGAACAACAAAGAGGGGGCATTCGGCCACATGCTGTAACTGTATGAACACTAGTGAAAAATGGACACTGTAAATGAAAATGCCCATCTCTAAAGGCAAGCAAGCTCAAAGGGTGAATTCACAGACAGACAGACAGGAGAGCAGCAGTCAGTGCTCACTGAGGCCAAAGTTTCAGTATGTATTTAATACCACTCAAAAATGGTTATATTGGGGCTGAGAAGGTGGCTCAGTAGTAGAGCGCTTGACTTGCATGCCCGAGGCCCTGGGTTCAATTCCTCAGTACCACATAAGCAAAAAGAAAAAAGCCGTAAGTGGCGCTGTGGCTCAAGTGGTAGACCGCTAGCCTTGAGCTGAAGAGCTGAGGGACAGCACCCAAGCCCAGAGTTCAGGCCCCACGACCAGAGCCCCCCCCCTCAAATAGGTTATATTGGTAAATTTTTCATTATGTGTATTTTAGCATAATTTTTAAAAAGAAAACAAGAAAAAAAGATGCCTTCACTCTGGCCCATACATATAAATATCAAAAACCTTAAAGACAACTAACAGCCAACAGAAGGGAGAGGGAGAAACGTGTTCTCAAGGCCGCTAGACACTAAGGGATGAAAAAAGAAGGCAAAGTTGATGAGAGGACAATGCACCTCCAATGCTGAGGCAGGAAAGTCCTGCTCCAGGGTAGACACAGGAGAAGCCAGTGCCTGAGCAGAGGTCAGAAGATGAAATCCTGGGAGTCATCTCTTTTCTTCCCTCCTATCTAGAATAATGGCTAGCAAACCTCTCAAGTTCAACATTTCTTTGGGAAACATCAGACAGGTGAAAGTAGGCTTTATTTCTAATGTGAAATGATGCTGTTGCAAATTCCATCAGACCACATGTCTCACTGGCTTCAAGTAGAAGCTTGGGATCTTAAGGAAACTACCATGAAATAATCCGTTGTTTGGCCAACAGTAGCTGTCCCACTCAATCCTGGCCCCAAGTCTGTAGACAGGAAGCAGCCATGAGCGGTGTGCAGCCTCTGAGCAGGTATGAGTGTCTCGGAGGAAAGAGGATAAAGCTGGTGCACAGGTGTTCACTGCCACGTAACATGGCGGGCGTCTACTCAGCCACGCACGCTGCAGGGTGTGATCTATGCTCACAGCACCCTGTCCCACACAGCCACCAGTCCAAATGTAACGCAGTCCCAGTCCTGTGCTTTGTTCTTTGAATAAGTTTGTGCACCAGGCTCAGGAAACCTGTCTGTAGGCTGGCTGTCTCGGTGACCAAAACATCTTCCAAATATGGCTTAGATTTAAAAAAATTTATTAGTTAAAATGTACAACTTGCCGGGAGCTGGTGTCTCATGCCTGTAACCCTAGCTACTCTAAAGAGGCTAAGATCTGAGAATCACAATTCAAAGCCAGCCTTGGCAAAGTGCCTGAGACTCTTATATTCTATTAACCCAGGAAACCAGAAGTGGGGCTGTGGCTCTAAAAGGTAAGAGTGTTAGCCTTGAGCCCAAGCCCCGAGTTCAAGCCCCACGACTGACCACCACCTCTCCCAAAACCCAACTTATCTCTAAACATCCTAGTTTAAAAACCACAGGCAGTGTTAGAGTATTAAGAAGTCAGTTCCCAGCTAATGGTATAAACTCTTTCAATTAGATTCTTTTCTGCCTAAACCCTACTGGATGCTGCAACTGACTACTGTACTGCAAGTATTTCAAGTGTGAATAAAGCTCAAATAAAGTGCTGTGGGGTGAGCTGGATGCTATAGGAGGGAGCAGCCTCCAGGATGCAATCGGCACTATTTGGCAATAGTGTGGGGAAAGGTTCGCTCGCTGGTGTTCTGGCTCTGTGCACTTGTGTTACTCAAAGCACAAAGAGGCTGCCTTAATCTGTATTCTATCTCATGTGTAGACGTTAAGCACACCACCTTGAAGCCAAAAAGCCTTGGATTAGAACCTGATTCTTGAGGCTTTAGATCCACAATCCTTTATCTGGAACACCTATAGTCAGGTTCCAGCTTCAAATGACAGACAGACACCCTACACTTTGGAAAGACAAGACTGTGAATAAACCGAGCACTTCCACTTCCTGTGTAGTCCAAGGCAGCAGCCATAATCGATTACTACAGCTGAGTATCTCTGCGGGGCTGGGGCTCAGGAGTGGAGGTCTCACCTCATAGGCAAGGCCTAGCTGTCACCCCCCAGCTCTGCGAAAGAAAGAAAGGAAAGAAAGGAAAGACAGAAGGAAGGAAAGAAAGAAAGAGGAAGAAAGGAAGAGAGAGGGAGGGAGGGAGGGAGAGAGAGAGAAGGAGAGAGGAAGGGAGGAGGAGGAAGAGGGAGAGAGGGAGAGAGAGAGAGAGAGAGGGAGGGAGGGAGGGAGAGAGAGAGAGGAGAGGAAGGGAGGAGGAGGAAGAGGGAGAGAGGGAGAGAGGAAGGGGGAGAGGGAGAGAGGGAGAGAGGGAGAGAGAGAGAGTGTACAACAGTCTGCTAAATTTACAACACATAGAGTGAACAAAAGTGGGTTTTTCTGGGGCTGGTTCTGGGGTTTGAACTCAGGGCTTGGCACTTCTCTGAGCTTCTTTTTGCTAGCACTCTACCACTTGAGCCACAATGCCACTTCTGGCTTTTTTTTTTTTTTTTTGGTAATTTATTAGAATAGTCTCACAGCCTTTCCTGCTTGGGCTAGTTTCGAACTGCATCCTCAGATCTCAGCCTCCTGAGTAGCTAGGAGTACAGGTGAGCCCCACGTGTCCCAGCCAAAAGTGATTGCTAACAAGCCCCATCAGATTTTTCTGCCAAATAAATGTGTACCATTTTAAAACACCAACTCCACTCAACTGATTTCCAGGGCTCTGAGTGTTGAGTTGCACACAGGATGTGTGGGATAATGTTGAAAACTTTAGGTTCCTTTGTGGGTCAGGGAGCCCCAAGAACAATCTGTTCATTCAGAGTATTTACAAGAGGAAAACACCACCGTCAGACGCTTAGCAAGACAAACACAGTTCATGCACAGGTACAGCCTTAGCTGAGGCCACAAGAGGCAGAAATACTCCACCTGCGAGCTTCCATCCCTCTCCTCAGGTCACTAAGGTAAGAAATGCAGAAGAGGATGGAGAAGCATGCCAAGGCCAGCAACACCTCATGGCTCCAGGCCACTTCCAGAAGCGCTCCTGGTTTTAGAAACTTCCTCCTCCCAGGTAGCCGCACCAGTGAAGGAATGGCTTCACTCAAGCCCGTATGCCTCCACTTCAAACCTGGACAACACAAAACCACTCCTTCAGTGGCCCTGCCTGTGCTGCTGCTCACCTACTCAGCACCCGTGTTCTTCTCAAAACTCTTATCAGATCACCTCCTACCCTGGCTTCTTTTTCTTTTGGTGGTAGTACCAGGCACACTGTCCCTGAGCTTTTTCACTCAAGGCTGGAGCTCTACCATTTGAGCCACAGCTCTACTTCTGGCTTTTTGGTGGTTAACTGGAGATAGAGTTTGGTAGACTTTGCTGCCTATGGCAATCTTTAGGTCTTGGCCTCCTGCATAGCTAGGGTTACAGGAATGAGCCACCGGTGCCCAGCTTTCACCTAACCTTCTTTGGTGGCGTCCCACATACTCTCAAGTCATAAGGTCCTACCACCACTCCTGACACAAGTAGAGGCCGTGGCCTCACCTGTCTCCCCTATGTGACCTCATGCCACTGTCGCCTCTGTCCCACTCCTGCTGCCTAGCCAGCTCCTTATCGCAATCAAGTGTTTCACATCCAGGGCTGTTGGCTGCTTTCCCCTGACTGCACTGCTCTGTCCTGCCCGTCTAGCACCATGACCAGTGTTAATGGCCACATTACCTCCTCAGGCTTATTTTTCTGACTATACTACTGGGAGTAGGATCTGCCTGCTCCTTTCAGGACCCTAGTTGTTTCTTGCTATACTTGCAACTGTCTTAAAATTGTAACATCAATCACTTGGGATGTATGTAATACATTCCACCAGGGCAAAGGACAATTGCATTTACTGCTGTGTCCCTGGGGGCTGGCTGACAGCAAGCACCCAGTGATGAGGATAAACCAATGAGCACGTCATCTCTTACGTACTGTGTGCTGCGAAACTGCTGTTCTCATTGCACTAAGACAGGCTATGACCACTCACTTATAGGCTAGACAATGGGAACAGGATAAAAGCAACAGAACAGGTAGATGTGCTCCTAGACAAGCCTATGAAGACCTGTTACAATACATCACACAATTTGATCAAAGCTTGTGTGGTTCAAGTCCAAGTTCTGGGGAAGGAAGGCCATTTCCTAGGCTCAGCAGGCTAGACTACTATCCAAGTGGACACCACCTTCTCCTTTGTCAAGTTCTCCTTATTTTGCCATGTGCTTCCACCACTGCCGTCTATGTGAATTGTCCCATGGCTCATGTGCTTCTGGAGAGCGAGGCCAGCGACACCTGTGTGACACAGCTCTTCGTGCAGCACTGTCCCAGTGGACACGGTGTGCTGCAGTCCCTGACTCACAAGCTGCGGTGCCAGTGCTGCAGGCCTTTCTACAGACTTCCACTGCCTACATGCTGCCTCCAACTCACATGTTCAAAGGGTAATTTTTCTTGTCTTTTTTTTTGGTGGGGAAAGGGGCAAAATAGGTACACAGAAATGGAGGGCGGAAGGGTGAACAAATGCAGTCATACACATATATATATGTGTATATATGTATGTATACTCAATATATACTGTGTAAAATCTGAACTACGCAATGTGTGGGCAAGACGGGAAAAGGAAGAGGAGGTTTTATTCAAGAAGCGTTGTATTCACGACCAGACTTATGAAATTATAACCCCTCTGTATAACACTTTAGCACTAACAATAAAATTATATTTAGGAAAAAAAAAAGGCAGGCTGGGCAATAGTGGCTCATACCTGTAATCCTAGCTACTCAGATCTAAGGATAGCTGTTGAAAGCCAGCCCAGGCAGGAAAGTCCATGAAACTTTTTTTTCTTTTTTGGTTGGTCATGAGGCCGGAACTCTGGGCCTGAGCACTGTCCCTCAGCTCTTCAGCTCAAGGCTAGCGATCTACCATTTGAGCTACTTCCAGCTTTGTTTATGTGGTGCTGAGGAATCGAATCCAGGGCCTCATGAATGCAAGGCAAGCACTCTACCACCGAGTCACCTTCCCAGCACAAGTCCATGAAACTTTTATTTCCAATTAACCACTAAAAAGCCAGAAGTGGATCTGTGGCTCAAGAGGCAGTGTTAGCCTTAAGAAAAAAAGCTCAGGGACAGTGCCCATGCTCTGAATTCAAGCCCCAGGAAAGAGGGTGAAGGGAAGGGAGAAAAAAGAAGCAAGAGAGCATAAGGATAAATGGAAGTTTTCATTATGCAAAAAATATAAGCAAAGTGAAAAAGGGCTTGCTTGGAGTGTGGAGGCAACTGGACAGCTCCAGAAGATGTTGCATTACTGAGACAGGAAGAGGTACACTCACACACTGGCCTTCTATGGTGAACACAGAGCTGTCTAGAACCCAAGATGCTTCATGTCAGTGTTCCTCTCCAGCTAAGTCACTCTGAAATCAGATCCCAGCAAGGTCATCGGGCTAACGTAAGGCCAGGTGATCAGCTCTGGCAGCCTGAGGGCCAGTTCTTGGCTTTCTTGGCTCTGAGTGCCACTGTTAAGAGCGCAAGAGCTGGGACTTTGGCCTAGAACCTTAAGATATGACTCGAGTGTCCTAATAACCTTTAAGAAAAAGATGAGTGAACTGGACATGGTATGATACCTGAAATCCATAATACACACTTGTTTTGCTTTGCACTACTGGCAATTGAGCCGAGGACCAAATAAATGTAAGGCCAGGGCTCTACTACTGAGCTGTAACCCAGCCTGACAGATATTTTTAAAACAATAAAGAGGCAGGCACCAGTGGTTTATGCCCTTAATCCCTGCTCCTGAGGAAACTGATATATGAGAATGACCTTTTGGAGCCAGACTAGATAGTACAATCAATCCCCAGTGCTCCAAAGCCAAGTGAAAGCAGGGGGCCAAACGCAAACAATAAGGATGTGGCAAACAGTAGGCACTAAAATCTGTTCATGCAACCATAAAAAGCCATGTAAGCTAGGTGCCAGCGGCTCACACCTGTCACCCTAGCTACTCAGAAAGTTGAGATCTGAGGATTGTGATTTGGAGGCAGCTGGGGCAGGAAATCCCAAGACTCTTCTCCAATTAACATCTGTGCCCCTCCTCCCCCCAAAAGAGCTGGAAGTGGAGATGTGGCTCACGTGGTAGAGTGCTTGTCCTGAGTGAAAACAACAACAACAAAAAAAACAAAAACTGAAGGACACCACCCAGGCCCCAAGTTCAAATCCCAGAACTGGTACGTACATACGCACGGGCTTGCACCCCCCCACACACTTAAACACAATACAAGCTAAGCCATCTTCGTAGACAACCTACAGTTCCCAGAAAAACATGCCATGCTCTATGCTCTAAAACCTGTGAATGTGACTTATTTGGAAAGAGGGATCTCTAGAAAAGACCATCTGGATTTAGGGCGAGCCTTATTCCCAATGTAAGAAGAGCAGAGGAAATCTGGGACCCAGACCCCGTAAGAACAAAAGCCATGTAAAGAGGCAGCGCTGTCCTTTGCCTGAAGCCACCTCTGGTCAGAGGCCACGCATTCCCCTAGATTTCTAGCCTCCAGAACTACAAGGCAATGTATCGCTGTGGCTTTAGGTCACTGAGGTTGGAGCAATCTTAATTTCAGCTGCATTGTACTCATAAACCAAAACCCTTTGTACAACTACTTAAAAACTGAAAAAAAAAAAATACAATTCTTTTGTGTGTGTGGTACTGACACTTGAACTAAGGGTCTTATGCAGGTGTTTTCCCTCTGGAGCTGCACCCCTAGCCCTTTTTACATTAGGTTATTTTTCAGATGGTCTACCATAATCATCCTACTTATGCCTCTTTTGTAGTTGGGATTATATAAATATTCCACCATACTTGGCTTGTTTCTTGAGATGGTGTCTCACTTTTTGCCTAGACTGGACTTGAACCACAATCCTAACTAAAAATCTAGGATTACAGGTATGTAACATGAGCCTTGATCCCATTTTCTTTGTGTGTGTGTGTGCTGGTACTGGGACTTAAACTTGCTCAAAGCTGGTGCTATACCAATTGAACCACAACTCCATGTCTGGCTTTTTAGTGATTCATTAGAGATAAACCTGGACAGGCTTTGAACTCCAATTCGTATTATCTCAGCTTCCCGAGCAGCTAGGATTATAGATGTGAGCCACTTGCACCAAACTCTCATTTTTTTTTCTCCTTTTGTGTCTGTCCTGGGACTTGAACTCAGGGCCTAGGTGCCATCCCTGAGCTTCTTTAGCTCAAGGCTAGCAATCTACCACTTGAGCCACAGCTCCACTTCTGGCTTTTTCTCAGTAGTTTGTTGAAGATAAGTCTCATGGGCTAGTTTTGAACTGTGATCCTCAAATCTCAGCCTCCTCATTTTCTATTTTCCTTTTCCATAAACATAGGTTTACAAGACACGGAATGTGAAAGAAATGAGTTATTTGGATTTTTTTTTTTTTTTTTTTGGTCGGTTGTAGGGCCTGAACTCTGGGCCTGGGCGCTGTCCCTCAGCTATTCAGCTCAAGGCTAGCGCTGTGCCACTTGATCCACAGTGCCACTTCTGGCTTTTTCTGCTTATGAGGTGCTGAGGAATCGAACCCAGGGCCTCATGCATGGAAGGCAAGCCTTCTACCACTGAACCACATTCCCAGCTCAGTTACTTGGATTTTTTAACAGTAAATTTGCCAGAGTCATTAGGAGTATCAGAAAGAGTTACTGTACAGTTGAGTTATTCTCTCAGCACCAGTAGACAAACAACACGTTAACATGGCCTGGGTTCAGCAAACCCTGAAGCTCCCATGACGGCTTACAGCTTGCCAGTTCATGTGCCCATCTGATTTGAGTGTGGCTTCAGACCTGAGGCCTCAGCTACTTCTGACCAAGTCTGAGCAGTAGTTTACACCAACAACGAGATTGACAGTAAACAGCTGTCTCTCAAGGGTTAGAGGGTTGGAAAGAGTACCTAGGTGACAGAGAAGTCCCTGCAGAGTCCTGCAAACTATCTGGCAAATTCTCAGCCATGAGGGTGCCTGGTACAATCTACAAAGACAAGACCTAATGCACAATCAGCGTACTCAAACCAACCAATTCATTACCTTTGTGTGCTCATCTCCAACTGGCTTCAGTCTCCTTTTTTTACTTCTGCTGTGAAATTCTACCACTTCAACTAGTTCCTTGTTCTTCTTTTGGGGCAATACTACAGAAGCAGCAGAGACTTTTGGTCTTGCAGGGACAGCTGGGGATGGGATGGCAGGAGCGTGGTGCAGTTCTTCTCTGAGTTCCTTGAAAAACCTGGATGCGCTCTTCCTCTGGGGTCTCACAGGGGAGCCAGGAGGGAGGGCTGGCTCCACAGCCGCCAAGGACACAGCCTCTACACTGCTCTTCTGAGTGCCTCTGGTTCTGATTCTCTTCTGCTCTGTCACACCTTCTGTCTCTCCTATTTGTTGAAACACAAGAAGGGAAGTCTTTTCAGTTTTGGCTAACACTAACATCAAATGCCACAGCAACAATTAAAGTTTTTCTTCAAGTCAGATATAGCTGCACAATTTGTAGTATTCAAACTGCAGTCATCTCTCCTAGATAACTGTATTTACATCTCTGACCTTAATTTAATTAGCACAGTTAATCTGATCCTCACCACACTCCTTACTCCATGTGTCACCTTGGTAACCTGTTCCTAGGACTGGGATTCCCAACTGGTTCACACTTTGTACTATCAACACCTGCTATGACACTGGTGGTTCCTCTAAACACTTCCTGGGGTGAAAGGACTAGGCAATGCTCTTCCTATATTCTTTCATTTTTGCACTAAGTAGAACTGAAGGTGGCTGACTTAGCTTGAATATTTTCTAGGTCTTGCATCCACAGTTTGTTTGATCTGTTCAAACTATGACCAGTGACCTTAAAGTTCTAACCACAATGCCAGGCCTCATCACTCACCTACAGTGGGAGCACAAATGAGCTCTCCAAGTCTTTTACTTAAGCACAAAGCTAGGAATATAATAATGAGCAGGCCCAGGTTAGGCCTTCAGGGCTCCCTCACAGCCTATGTGGCCATCAACTGTGCTTAGGATGTTGCAGGGTCCTTCCCTGCAGCCTGTAAACCAGGGGCGGTCAGAGGCTAAACCATCTCCGAGGCTCCGAAGGCACGGGGGCGCTAGGCACGGGGGCGCTGGGCACAGGGTCGGGGCACGGGAACCGGTACTCAGCAGCCTCCACGTGAGAAACGGCAGCGCCCTCACAGCTGGCACACGCGGGAAGCCCTGGGTTCGATTCCCCAGCACCACAGAGCAGGCCAGGAGCAGAGCTGCGGCTCAAGGGGTAAGCACCGGCCCAGGGCGAGGCCCAGGGCGCCGCGCACTCCGGGCCCGGCCATGCCTGGCCCGGCCGCCCGGGGTCCCGTTCTCGGCTTACCCAGGTCGTAGAGCGTCTGCAGCAGGGCGTCCAGCGCCTCCTCGGAGCCGGTCGGCCCGGACTCGGGCTGACTCCCCGGCTTCATCGTCGCCCGCCGCCCGCCACTTCCGCTTCCGGCACGGCCAGGGCGCGTGCGTCGACAGCGCGCGTGCGCCCCGGGGCCCCACGCGGCTTCCGTCCTGACTAAGATGGCGGCCCCCGGGGTCCGGCGCGGCGGCTGCAGAGGGCGCCGCCGCCCAGGGCGAGGTCGGGCCGCCCCGCGCGGAAGAACCGCCCCCAGCGGCCGCCCCACCGCCGCGTAGCGCCCAGATCCCAGCCCCGCCCGGGACGACAGCCGCGCCATGGACTCTCGGCACTTCTCCGACCTCGGCTTCTCCGCCGGCTCCGCCGGCCCCGGCGCGGTGGTGCTCCTGCATGCGGTAGGCCGGCGGTCGCGGCTCGGGCCCTCGGGGGAAAGGGGGCGCGGCCCGGTGTCCACAGCAACCGCGCGTCGCGCCGTCCCGCTTGGTGGTTCTCGGGGTCCTTCCTGCCCGCGCCCCCCGGCGCCTGCGGGCCCCGAGCAGGGCGCGGCCGAGGGGCGAGGCCGGAGGGCCGCGGGTCCGCGGGGCCCAGGCCGGCGGCGGGGCCCAGCGGGCCGCCCGACCCCACACTCCCCCCCGCCGCCCTGGCCGGCCCGAGCCCCGCGAAGCTTTGGAACGTGTGCAAGTTGCGTGCGCGCCTGCTCGCCGCCCTTAGGCCGGACCGTCCGGCCTCTCTCCCCGCCGACCTTGACCCCGCCGGTTCCTGCAGATCGCCCGCAGAGTTTCGGTCCCTCGCGGGCTCGCGAGGAGGCGGCGGCGGCGCATCGCCCTTAGGGTCTCACACTCCCGGGGCAGCTGATGTGGGCCTTGCTCCTCTGCAGGAGCTCGAACTCCGGGCCGGGACCTCTCTCGCTCTACGCTTTCGTTCGAAGTTAGGGTCTCCTACCTGAGCCACAGCTCCGCGTTGGGCAGACTTTTGGGTGGCTGACCGGAGCCCCTCCCTCGTCTGCCCCGGCTCCAGCCTCAGAACCGGCTTCCTGAGCAGCGAGGGTCACCGACAGGTGTTTGTGTGCGTGTTTAACCGCTAAATTAGCCTTTGTCCACTTTGGGAGGAAATAGTACATGTGTTTCCTCACACAAGCAACTAGCATTAGTTGCTAAGAACTGTGTCCGGTTGATTGGTACAGAAAGGACCAAGGAAGGAAAACTAAGAGACATACACACCTCCTCCTTCCTCCCTAAGAGAATATCGGACATGGGGTAACTTCTAGAAGTTCCCTCTCTGTTAAGAACTTTTAGGCTAAGTGTATTGCTTAAGCTTCTCTCTCCAATGACCTTGTCAGCCGGCAGTTCTTTGGTGAAAACATTTCTCCTTGTGTTCTGACTGCTTCTAGAGCAGGAAAGTGGGAGGAGAGGGCTGTTGTGTGCCTTTCCCATTAAGCTGCTTTGTGAGTTAACTGAATTACACATAGGAGCTTGCTTTTGGCTTCCTGCTTCACCTGTTGTTCTTCAAAGATAAGACTTTTGTCAATATTTTCACGTGACAAAAAGCAATTTTTAGTAATTGCTACCTCCAACAGTGGACAGCAGCCCTCTCCTTACCTGCGGTCTTTACTATTCTTTCCACTCTTCGCCCCCTATTTTTTTGAGCAGGGGTGGTAGTACTGAATTCAGGGCCTCTGCACTGTCTTTTGTACTCAAGGCTACCACTCACTCCACAGCTCCACTTCTAGCTTTTTAGTGGATAATTGGAGGTAAGAGTCTTACAGACTTTTCTGCCCAGGCTGGCTTGTCTTGAGTAGCTAGGATTACAGGTGTGAGCTAATGGTGCCCGGCTAGTTTTTACTATTCTAACTGCATAGCTTTTCTTCCAAGATAGCCTGAACTTTTTCTTACTACTTCAGGTTGTTCTTACTTTTGCCACTGTTTTTGTGCAATAGAGTCTAATCTGAAAGTAGTACTTTAGAGATGTTTACATTAGGAATGGCTAAGGTATCTTTTAAGACTGGTTGCCTCTCAGAGCACAGGAAGTTCTACAAATAAGCACATAGTTACAGTTAAGTGGGATAAGAGCAGTGACTTTAGCATGTTGTGGGAGTCAGGAAAGGGCACCTGGTATATCTGGGGACTGGGAGAAGGCGGATGAGAGAAGGTAACACCTGGGCTGAGTTTTTGAGGCGTGAACATCAGGTAAGGGAGGGGAAGACTGGAGGACATGGGTGTAGGGAAACCACTGCCTTCCGTGAGTGGAGAGAATGATTCGTTAGGTGATAATGAGTAGAAGGGGGGTGACAAAATGGAAGAAGGTGGCAGAGGGTCGTGGGGCTTGAACTCTGGGCCAGAGTGCTGCCCCTCAGCTCTTCAGCTCAAGACTAGCTAGCACTCTACCACTTGAGCCACAGCGCCACTTCTGGTTTTCTAGTAGGTAATTGGAGATAAGTCTTCCCAGACTTTCCTGCCTGGGTTGGTTTTGAACCATGATCCTCAGATCTCAGCTTCCAGAGTAGCTAGGATTACAGGTGTGAGTCACAAGTGCCTGGCAGGCATGAGATTTTTTAACCTGTGAATTATGGACTGGATATATAAGTGCCTTTTGAACACAAAGATTGGAGTATGATAGTGGAGGGGAAGAGGAAGGTCTGGCCTGAACGTGTGGATTTGGCAGTCATCTGTCAGTGGGCAGAGGTATGCTTGAAGTCCCTGGGGTGAGAAGACGTGTGGAGGTGGGTGACCACTGCTGAGCTATGCTCTAGGTCCTGGCTCCCTGCTAGAATCTGTGGGAACGATCCCGGTGCCTCCTTGTTCCCGTCAGAACGTTTCATTAGAGTGTGGGTGCTGGTGATGCTACACTCTGACTGTACCAGTCGTGCCTGCAGGGCTTCAGGCTCCTTGCAGTTGGCAAGCTGCCTCCTCTGGATGCTCCTAGGCACTCTGTGAGTGCAACACTGCCTGGAGGCCAGCCCAAGCATCCCTCCCTCCCTCACCAAGTCCTCAGGGAGCACTCAGTCTCATGGCCCTCCTTCCCTATCTCCCTCACGGAATCCAGGGAGCACTCAGTCTCACGTCCCTCCCTCTCTCCCTCAGGGAGCATTGAGTCTCACACTTCTCTCTCCCTCCCTCAAAGAGTCCTCAGGGAGCACTCAGTCTCACAGAGTCCTCAGGGAGCACTCAGCCTCTTGTAGTTGATGAGTCCATCAGGGCTGGTTTTACTTTTCCTGCAGTCTTGTACTAGCTTTCCAGAGCTGCTTTTAAATATTCATGGAGTTTCTGAGCCCATTGTTAAAACACAGACATTTTAAAAATCAAAGATTGAATTATGTAAATTTAAATTTCTATTAAAAACAAAGGTCATCTCATGAACTGACATGTCTATTTGAAACCCCATTGTAAAACTGCTTAAAGATAATACAAAATTGTCCGGGTGCCTGTGGTTCATACCTGTAATCCTAGCTACTCAGGAGGCTGAGATCTGAGGATTGCGGTTCAAAGCCAGCCTGGGAAGGAAAGTCCGTGAAACTCCTATCTCCAGTAAACCACTGGAAAACCAGAAGTGGCACTGTGGCTCAAGTGGTAGAGTGCTAGTCTTGAGCTGAAGAGCTGAAGGACAGCGTCCAGGCCCAGAGTTCAAGCCCCACAATTGACCAAAAGAAAATAAAGATAATACAAAATTAATTTAAAAAAATAAAAAATTATTAAAACAAAAGCTATACAAAATTAATTTAAAAAGTAAAAAGTTATTAAAACAAAGGCCATACACATTGCCAAACTTAGCATTTTCTATTATTTGACTGGAGTTTATGGTCATTTCTGGTTTGAACTCAGGGCCTTGGCACTGTCCCTGAGCTTTTGTGCTCAAGGCTAGTGCTCTACCACTTTGAGCCACAGAGGCTCCATTTCTGGCTTTTTGGTAGCAAACTGGAGATAAGAGTTTTCCAGGCTGGCTTCAAACTACAATCCTCAGATCTCAGCCTCTTGCGTAGCTACTATTACAGCTTACCTTTCTTATTCATGTAGCATTACTGTATCTGGTATACTTGGGCTGTCTGCTGAGTGAATAGGTAGAGCCCCAGAGGACTCAAGAGAGAGCTGGAGGAGGACTCTGTTCAGCCATCAGTATAGACAGGCCTGGACACTGAGGCACAGGGAGAGGCAGCTGTTAGGTCTTCTTGCTTGAACTGCCCCTTGTGCTGTGCTCCTGGCTGCGTAGCCATGCAGATTACTTACTGGTCACAGCATGATATTGTGAGGGGGGCGGGTAGTAAGCAGTTGATCTTGAATTCTAGTGGGCCAGCACATTCTTATACCAAGTAAACTAGGAGGCTTGGGCATCAAGGGGAGGCCAGGAAAGCAGCCCCGAGCAGGGCATCCCAAGCTGTGCCACGGCAGTGTTTTCCAGATGTTGTAGATGACCCTCTCTGTAGCTAGTACCACCATGCACTACTTACTCATAAAGGAAACTGTCTTGATCATTGCTGTATAAACCCAGTGCCTAGGCGACAATGCCAGCCATACAGCAGAACTCCACTGTTTGAGAATGAATGCTTTTCTGTAGAGTGGCAGCTCACAGCTGCCTGGGGAGTCCTGAATGAGCATAACTTGTCTAGATCTCCACATAGCCAGGTCGTGAAGCACCCAGGGCACCTGCTCAGGTGTGGTCTTGATCCTCTAGGTTAATGAATTGTGGATATTGGGCAAGCTACTCCTTTTTGATTCCCTACTGATTCTTGTCACTCCCAGAGCCACCAGATGGGAAGTTCCTAAGCTTGCTGATAGGCTGTTAAAGGTCGTTTGTTGAATCCAAGTCTGATATGACTAGGTTATTAATGAGAAACAGGTTTGAGAATATTCTCCAGCCTTGTAAGCAAGAGTGTGATAATGTTGCATTGTCTCCAACACACATGGCCCAATGTTGGAAAGATGAAGAGGAAATGGATCATGCTGACCTCAAGATAACTGCACATTAATGGAGACAGAGCTCAGGGAAGCACACTGTGGTAGGCAGAGAAGCCCTGTGAGGCCCGCCAGGAACTTAGGGAAAGCCTTCTTGGAGAAGTAATGGTTGTGGAGGTGAAGCACGTGCACCAGGTCAGTGGTCAATGAGCAGGCCCTGTCTGCAGCCAGAAGAGAGGCCAGCCCCCCGTAAGTCTTACTCCCATTTGGAAATGGCTTAGATCTTACTTGGAGGAGACAAGAGTCGTTTAATAAGCAGGAGCAACCTGTGCTTTGAAAAGTGCATGAGGAGGGGCTGGGAAGGTGACTCAGTGGTAGAGCACTTGCCTTGCATGCATGAGGCCCTGGGTTCTATTCCTCAGCACTACATATGCAAAAAGAAAAAAGCTGGAAGTGGCGCTGTGGCTCAAGTGGTAGAGCGCTAGCCTTGAGCTGAAGAGCTGAGGGACAGCGCCCAGGCCCAGAGTTCAGGCCCCACAACCGGACCCAAAAAAAAAAAAAGTGCATGAGGAAAGCCAGGTTCCACCCATGCGTAGCCTGTAACCCTAGCTCCTCCAGAGCCCAGGGTCTGAAGATCTCAGTTTGAATCCAGCCCGGGCAGGAAAATCTGGGAGACTCCCTGTCTCCAGTTAACTAACAAAAAGTGTGGCTCTGTGACTCAAGTGGAACACCAGCCTCAAGCTTTTGAACTAAGGGCCAGTACCTAGGCCCTGAATTCAAACCCCATTACTGGCCCAAAAAAAGTGCATGACAGTGAGAAGGATTGATTGAAAAGGTAAACTTGTAGCCAAGGAGGTTGCTGTGGGAAGAGAGCAGGCTGCCCAGGAGGCAGAGCCACAGCCAGGCCATGAGGAGGCACCTGGAGCAACACAGAGAGGTACAGACAGTTTGGCGTTGATGGTTATGGGATCAGACAGGGTTTATGGAAAGGGGGGGAGGGCATTGCTTATGTCACAGCCTAACACTTGGAATTACAGCCTCTTTGTACAACCACTTAGTAATAATAAAAATAATTGTGCCTACAAAAAAAAAATCAGCAAGGGGCTGGGAATGTGGCTTCGTGGTAGAGTGCTTACCCAGCACGCACAAAACCCTGGGTTCAATTCCTCAGCACCATATACACAGAAAAAGGGTGGAAGTGGTGCTGTGGGTCAAGTGGTAGAGTGCTAGCAGCTCTGTGACAGTTCTCAGGCCCCGAGTTAAAGCCCCAGGACTGGCAAAAAAATGAAAAATGGGTTGGGTGTCCTGGTATTCCAAGTGGGGGAGGGAGGCAGGGCTGGGAAGTCACTCAGTGGTAGAGTGCTTGCCTAGCACACATGAAACCCTGGGTTCCATTCCTCAGTACCACATACACAGAAAAAGCCAGAAATGGCTCTATGGCTCAAGTGGTAGAGTGCTAGCCTTCAGCACAGAGGATCAAGGACAGTGCTCAGGCCCAGAGTTTAAGCCCTAGGACTGGCATTAAAAAACAAAAAAAAAATCCAACTACATATGTCTTTCTGTACAATTTCAAATAAAACTTAGACAAGGAAGAGCTCAGTGTTAGGCCAGTTGGCTAGCATGCAGGAGGCCCTGTGCTTAATCCCAGCACTGAAAATAAAAGGGCTTTGTTATTTTAGAAAAGGGTTTAGCCAGTGTGGTGGCTCATGCTTGTAATCCTAGCTACTCAGGAGGCTAAGATCTGAGGATCTCGGTTCACAGCCAGCCCAGGCAGGAAAGTCTGTGATAATCTTATCTTTAATAAACCACTCAGAAAACTGGAAGTGGCGCTGTGGCTCAAATGGTAGAGCACTAGCCTTGAGCTGAAGAGCTGAGGGCCAGTAGTGCCCAGGCCTAGAGTTCAAGCCCCACCACCACCACCAACAACAACCATTAAAAAAAAAAAAAGATTTTTAAAAAGGATGAGGGATGAGAAGAGGAATAGAAGGTGAACATGGTCAAGGTATGTTATATGAATGTATGAAAACAACACAGTGAACCCATACACACTGTACAGTTAGTAGAGGCTAATAAAAAATTTGAAATAGCCGGGCACTGGTGGCTTGCACCTCTAATCCTAGTTACTCAGGATCTGGGAATAAGAGGCTAAAGTCAGCCCCAGCAGAGAAATCTGAGGAACTCTTAGCTAAAAAGTGGAGCTGTGGCTCAAGTGGTAGAGCTCAGGCCTTGAGTGGAAAAAGCTAAGGAAGAGCATGAATTAGTGTCCCCAGTACCCGCATGTGCACGTGCACACACACGAAGTAAAACATTAGCTGCCTTATTGGCAGCTCTCTGAAGACCAGTGTCGGGCAGGGGGAGAAGCCGCATGGAGAGACTGGGCCACAGGATAGATGTCACAACAGTACTGACTGCTCTGTGCAAGTTCTTCCTTGAGTGGTTTTTCGTTTTCATTGCACCCAAGAGGTTTGTTTTATTCAACTTAGTTTGCAGTTTTAAATATGTGTCATGATGATTTTTAAAGTTAAGTAGAGCTAGACAAGATAAATTTGTCATTGTGATAGATGAAACCTTGTAGACTCAACTGGTTTACTCTAGAGCTTAATGTCTTGTTTCTGCTATTTTTACTAAATTTCTCAAAGGAGTACTGGCTCAACAAAGATAGCCACCAGAAATATGATTATAATAACATGTTAATTCAGTGTCAATTTATTGATCCAATTTGGCACATTTCTTTTTAATATTCCATTCTTGTTCAGACATGGTAGAACAAGTTTCAAGAAAGGTGAAACCTAGTATATTCCCTGCCTGTCCTTATTCATGAAATATGACCATTCCTCTTTGATTTGCCCATCCACAGAAAAAGCTCAAAAAGTGGGATGAGTTTGAAGATATACTGGAGGAGAGGAGGCACACCAGTGACCTGAAATTTGCCATGAAATGCTACACGCCTCCGGTCTATAAGGGGATTAACCCTTGCAAGCCTGGTGATATTAAGGGTATGGTTCTCAGTTCTGATGAGATCGATTATGTCATTAAGCAGGTGAGTGAATTACAGCTTGTTGTTCATAGGCCTGTGGTGAAGAAAGCAACACGAGATTCAGTCAAGCATAGGAGTGGATGATGTGATCTGGAGACCCAGTGAAACTTGTGATCTGTGAGGGTTTGCTAGAAAGTTAGCAAACCACTTGTTTTTGCTTTTATGATGTGCTGGGAATAGAACCCAAGGCTTTGAACATGCCAGGCAAGTGTTCTACCACTGAGCTACAATCCAGCCCCATGCATATTGCTTCATAGTAATTGTGTGTGTGCGTGCATGCACGTTGATGTTGGGGCTTGGACTCAGAGCCTGGGCACTCTCCCTTAGCTGTTTCACTTAAGGCTAGAGCTCTGCCACTTGAGCCACACCTCTACATCCTGCTTTAAAGATAGGAGTCTCACAGACTTTTCTCCCAGGCTAACTTTGAACCAGGATTCTCAGAACTCAGACTCCTAATGGCTAGAATTACGGGCATGAGCCACCGGCCCTTCACTAATGGTATATTTTTGTATCTGGCAGTGTAGGGAGTTTTTATTTTTTATTTATTTATTTTTGTCGGTCGTGGGGCTTGAACTCTGGGCCTGGGCACTGTCCCTCAGCTCTTCAGCTCAAGGCGAGTGCTCTACCACTTGAGCTACAACGCCACTTCCAGTTTTCTGGTGGTTTTTATTGGAGATAGGAGTCTCACGGTCTCTCCTGCCCGGGCTGGCTTTGAATCGCGATCCTCAGATCTCAGCCTCCTGAGTAGCTAGGATTACAGGCGTGAGCCACCAGCGCCTGGCAGTGTAGGGAGTTTTAGTGTCAGCATCACCAACATGTAGAAGAGATGCACTGTGCTAAGGTGATGTCCCAGCAGTGATATCACTTGGCAATAGAACTTTCCAGTTCTGTTACAATCTGGGGACTGCTCTTATTTACATTTGTGGTCTGTGTGACCAAAACATTGTTTTGTGGCATGTAACCTGTTAATAATCATTCAAGCCTGAACTTGACAGTCAAAGAGTTTTTGTCTGTCTTCTCACTGGTATGTACCCCATAGCTCCCATATATTCAGCATTCAATAATTATCTTGGTCGGATTGGTGAGTGAAAAACATGATGCAGTTGGGCTGGGAAGGTGGCTCAGTGGTAGAGTGCTTGCCTTGTGTGCATGAGGCCCTGGGTTCGATTCCTCAGCACCACATAAACAGAAAAAGCTGGAAGTGGTGCTTGGCTCCAGTGGTAGAGCGCTAGCCTTGAGCTGAAGAGCTGAGGGACAGCACCCAGGCCCAGAGTTCAGGCCCCATGACTGGCAAAAAAAAAAAGATGCAGTGACCTCTGTGTAGAGGTCATGGTTTGGCTGAGCTGGTACAGGACCAGGTCTCTCTCTCTCCTATTTTTAAAGCTCCCTGGAATCAGAACTTGGGGCCAAATTGGCTAGGCAGGTGTTACGTCACTGGAGCCACACGAGTCCTAGTCTCTCCCAGTTGCAGGGTACAGCCAAGTGGAATGGAGCTGATTTAAAAGATAATGTTCAGGCCACTTAGCCTGGCTAAGACTCACTGAGATAGATGGGAGTAGTTACATGTTCCAGGAGGGCTTTGTGTGCCAGTGAGTGTCCACTCAGCACCTCCCTCATAGAGCCTTCATCTCCACCCCACCCCTCCTGGGTGCCTGACTTCCCCAGAGAAAACGGAAGGCGTCGCAGGAGGCTTGGGTAGCTCCCTGGGACCACAGCCGTTTCTGGTCAGCTGCAGTCAGCACTCCTGTTCTTCTCTTGTATCAGGAAGTGGGGTCCCCTTCTCTCACTTCACCTGCCTCTGCCCTGGCTGAGTCCCCCACTCCTGTGCTCACTAACCTCCCCTTAACACAGCTTCAGCTCGGTCTTCCATTGGGGTTAACTAGGCCTCTGACCCCCGTGCCTTCTCTAGTTGCTACCCCTTCTACTTGCCCCCCTGCCCTTCTCCGTGCCCGAGAAGATCACTGTGTTGTCTGCCTCACTCACTTGCTCTTGGTTGACTTCTCAGTTTCCTGGCCACCTCTAGGCTCGCTCCTCTATGGAATAATCTCCCAGTGGTTACATCTGCCTTGTTCAGAGATGTGGCAGCCTGGTTTTCATAACATCTCTGTCTGCTATGGACGGGCTCAAGGCTTTAGTGTGAAACAGCTGTACACTGAAAAAAATGTTTTAGAACTGCACATCTTAATAAAATTTTATTGTTAGTACAGTGTTATATAGAGGGGTTATGTTTCATATTTTGGGGCATTGTTACCTCTTCCTTTGCATCCCCTGTCTTCCCCTCCCATCCCTGCCCACAGGTTGCACAGCTAAGTGTCTGCTGAGCTTGCCTGCATTTGTGGGACTGTAAATTTTGTGCTAGATATATCTTAATTTTATTTTATTTATTTTATTTTATTTTTTTTTGCCAGTTGTGGGTCTTGAACTCTGGGCCTGGGTGCTGTCCCTGAGCTCTTCAGCTCAAGGTGAGCTGACTACCACTTGAGCCATGGCGTCACTTCTGATTTTCTTGTGGTTAATTGGAGATAAGACTCACAGACTTCCTACAGATGTTCCTGCCTGGGCTGACTTTGAACCATGATCCTCAGATCTCAGCCTTCTGAGTAGCTTGGATTATAGCCGTGAGCTATAATAAAAACAGGCCTAAGGATTTTTCAACTTAGAAAATTGTTTCTGCTTGAGTCTTTGTCTTCCCTTTTCTCATTCAAACTGTGGAATTATTCTCTGGCTGTGGCTGCTGTGTTTGGGGTATGTGCAGCCTGTGTGTGCCACCCCACCCATTCATTCCTTAGTTCCTTTAGATCTCATATGGATTCTTTTCTGATCCTGTTGTAAGAACCTTCTTGGCAGCCTCACTGTTTGAGGTTTCCTGTGAGTAAAATAGGCATAGGTGAGAGGAAACAGCTTATCCCAGGCCCTGCCCTGTGATTTGAACCCAAAAGATGAGATAGGTAGTCAGATAGCTGAGGAGGTTGCCTAATATTTATGAATGTCCTAAATATACTGGATTGTTCTCCAAGTGGTTAAGCTAGTGTCCTATGAATTTCATTATCGGTGAAAAAAAGATATGAAATAATCTTGACTCTAGCACCCTACCCTCTGAGCCATGCTCCTGCTGAAACTGAGCCATCTTTACTCCAGCACCCCACCCTGCCTTCCAAGCTGAGCTCCTGCTGAAGCTGAGCCCCGCCCCCCTTTTTTTGGTCGGTCGTTGGGCTTGAACTCTGGGCCTGGGCTCTTCAGCTCAAGGCAAGTATTCTACTACTTGAGCCACAGCGCCACTTACAGTTTTCAGAGTGGTTTATTGGAGATAAGAGTCTCATGGAGGGGCTGGGAAGGTGGCTCAGTGGTAGAGCACTTGCCTTGCATGCCTGAGGCCCTGGGTTCGATTCCTCAGCACCACATAAGCAAAAAGAAAAAAGCCAGAAGTGGTGCTGTCGCTCAAGTGGTAGAGTGCTATCCTTGAGCTGAAGAGCTGAGGGACAGCGCCCAGGCCCCAGAGTTCAGGCCCCATGACCGGACCCCCCCCCCCAAAAAAAAATAATTAAAAAAAAAGAGTCTCATGGACTTTTCTGCCTGGGCTGCCTTTGAATGGTGGTCCTCAGATCTCAGCCTCCTGAGTAGCTAGGATTACAGGCATGAGCCACTGGTGCCAGGCTAGCCGAGCTATCTTGACTCCACCACACCACCTTCAAGTTGTGCTTCTACGGAAGCTGAGTGACCTTGACTCAGCGCCTGCACTTGTTCTCACTATTGCATAAGCTGTGAGATGCATGGTTTCAGTTGTTAGCCTTGGAGGCGAGGTTTGGGGCTTTTGTACCAGCAACTGAGGCAGTCAGGTCACTCCAGTGCTCTCCTGGGAGCATCTCCTGCAGCTGCTTCATGATGGCCAGGACCTGGGCAGCAGATTTCTTTAGACAGTTGAGATGGAAACTTAAAGCACACCAAAGGGAAGGGGGAAGTGATTTCTTTACTCTGAAATGCTGTCCTACAGAGCTGTTTCTCTGGATTTCTAGTCTGTCTAAATAGAATGATCCTCACTGGGCATCGTATTGTGCCCTATCTTCCCAGCACTTGGGAGGCAAAGGCAGGAGGATTTTTCTGTTTGAGGCAAGCCTGCGCTACTGAATGAGACTCTGTTGGAAGGGAAGAAAATCATTTATTTTACTAAGTCAGAAAATGAGCGTCAATTTAAATGAAGACAGCACAACATCTTTAAGTTATGTGCATGGGTCTGTTGGGACCCAACAGATTGGTTTGAGCAGAAGGAGTTCTGGTTCGTCTTTCACAGCCTATCCTTGTTCTCCATTTCTTTTAAGCTTTCCAAGGAATGCTGTCTCTCTGTCACTGCCCTCCGAGAGGAAGCCTGTGAGATCCTGGAGGAAATGAGTCACAAACTTCGTCTGGGAGCTATTCGGTTTTTTGCTTTTGTCCTAAGTAAAATTTTTAAACAGATTTTCTCGAAGGTGTGTGTGAATGAAGAAGGCATTCAGAAAGTGAGTACTGAGGGCTAAAAGCAGTCTTCCCTCCCCCCCAGTGACAGGCAGCCCAAGGGCAGCCCACTGGAGTGAATGCTCAGAGTAGGACTTTTCTTTTCTACAAGCCCACAACCTTGAGATTTGTTTAGTAAAGGTAAGATTATATGCACGTTAGTCACATGTTTACTAAAGTTACAAAAGCAATGCCAAATTTTTTTGTATTTGCTTCCAATACAGATTGCTCTTTAGTATTTCCTTTATCCATTTGCTGCTACTCTGGTACATTTTCCTGTGAGTGAGGATATGTTCTTAGGTTCCAGTTACCACAGCATTGAGCTTGGCTGTGACAGTAGCAGTTCAGACCTCCTCATTTCCTGCACCTATTTTATCCTGTTTAACATAAAACCCTAGATCTCCTGTTATGTTCAGATTCCTTAGCTCCTTAAGCACTTAAATTAGCAGGTCAGTTATTTTATTTTATTTTTATCTTATTTTATTTTAGGTCAGTTATTTTATAATGGCCCTTGAGCTGGGTTTTAACAATGTCACTGATCACAACTCGGCTCAGGTGGTGTGAGCGTACTCCTGCTGTGCTTCAAGCCCAGGCGACTGTGTGTCTGTATGTTCAGGAGCCGGTGTCTGTCTGCCCTTTACTGTTGGATATCTGGTGAAGGAGGTGTCTGCAAAGACCCTACTTTGGGCAGCACTTGAAAACAACTGTGTCATGGGCTGGGAAGGTGGCTCAGTGGTAGAGTGCTTGCTGTGCATGCCTGAGGCCCTGGGTTCGATTCCTCAGCACCACATAAGCAAAAAGAAAAAAACCAGAAGTGGTGCTGTGGCTCAAGTGGTAGAGCACTAGCCTTGAGCTGAAGAGCTGAGGGACAGCGCCCAGGCCCAGAGTTCAGGCCCCACAACTGGACCCCCCCCCCAAAAAAAAAAAACAAAAAAAAACAACTGTGTCCTGTTTCCATTAGACTTGCCCTGGTTCTCCATGATTGGCCCAAACCTATTAAGCTAATGGCTGCCCCGTATAATTCCCTCACTTCTGTTGTCCCCTGTAAGGAAGAGCTTTTCCTATAACTATTGTGTTTATTTCTTTGTTTTGCTGCTCATTTTCTCCCAGGTCAACTCTTAGCCCATTTGCACCCTTCCTCAGGTCTTTAAACATTTTGCTTTAACCCTGGCATTTACTTTTTTGTCAAGTATTCTTTTTCCTCTGACTGGTTTTTTTTTTTTTTTTGGTCAGTCGTGTGGCTTGAACTCTGGGCTTAGGCACTGTCCCTGCGCTCTTCAGCTCAAGGCAAGCGCTCTACTGCTTAGGCCACAGCACTACTTCCAGTTTTCTAGTGGTTTATTAGAGATAAGAGTCTCACGGACTTTCCTGCCCAGGCTCTTTTTGAATGATGATCCTCAGATCTCAGCCTCCTGAGTAGCTAGGATTACAGGCATGAGCCACCGGCGCCTGGCTTCCTCTGACTGTTTTTCATGTTGCCCACTTAACCTGTCGGTCTGTCAAAGAATGTTTGGGGCTGGGGACCATTGAAAGGTATGTGTCAGCTGACTACCAGTTACCTGCCTTGTGAGTAGCAAGGACAGCTGAAGTGGAGGTGTGTCTCCTGTTCTCCCCTCGGGACAGTGGAGGGCAGCAGTGGCTCTCGCGTCCCTCTTATTTTGTTCCAATAGTTGATAGGTCTTTTTCTTTCTTAAAAACAAAATCTCTGGGCCTGGCCCCGGTGGCTCATGCCTGTCATCCTCGCTTCTCAGGAGGCTGAGATCTGAGGATCATGGCTCAAAGCCAGCCTGGGTAGGAAAGTCTGTGAGACTCTTATCTCCAATAAACCACTAGAAAACCTGAAGTGGCACTGTGGCTCAAGTGGTAGAGTGCTTGCCTTGGACTGAAAAGTGCAAGGACAGTGCCCCAGTCCAGAGTTCAAGCCCTATGACCGAGAAAAAAAAAAAATCTCTGAGAGAAGCTCTGTTTTCTCCTATGACAAAACCCAGTACAAGGCTTTCTAAGTTGATTTACATGGGATCCTTCCATGAACTATCATTGTTTAGGTGCAGACCAAGCTGACACAGGCAACACATTAATGAGTATGTGTTCTGTACACATACAGTGTGGAGAGGGACAGGGAGAAAGATGGAAGGGGTGACATTGTACTCACATACTGACATGTGGGGTTGAAACTTTTTATACAGCTACTTAAGCATATTAAAAAAATTAGAAGTGGGGCTGGGAAGGTGGCTCAGTGGTAGAGCGCTTGCCTTGCATGCCTGAGGCCCTGGGTTCGATTCCTCAGCACCATATAACCAAAAAAAAACTGGAAGTGAAGCTGTGGCTCAAGTGGTAGAGTGCTAGCTAGCCTTGAACTGAAGAGCTGAGGGACAGTGCCTAGGCCCAGAGTTCAGGCCCCACTGACCAAAATCAAAGAAATAAATAATGTGTGTGTTTTTAGTAATCTCCCATTAAGTGAAAGTGCAGACCTAGAGCTCTGAAGCAACCCTTAGACCTTGTCAGACCCACTTTAGTGTGCAAGTATGAGGAAGGAAGAGAAAATGATGAGTATTCCCTCTGCCCATGGGCTCCTTCTGATTTGAGCTGTGGCCTGCCCACCGAAATGATTCACAATGTACCTGTCTTTCCAAGCTGCAACAGGCCATCCAGGAGCACCCCGTTGTCCTGCTGCCTAGCCACCGGAGTTACATTGACTTCCTGATGCTGTCTTTCCTCCTGTACAGCTATGACCTGCCTGTGCCCGTGATAGCAGCAGGGGTGGGTATGTACTGTCTGTCCTCTACCTCCTGTTAACTGTACCATCCACACTGGTGAGCGTAGTAGTTCTTAAACTACTGAAGAACTTGAAGAGTTGCTGCAGCCTCTTCTCCCTGGAAGCCAGCGCTTTTAGTCCGGATAATATACAAGCAAAATCCTTTGGCCTTTTTTTTTTTTTTGGGTTGGTCATGGGCCTGAACTCTGGGCCTGGGCACTGTCCCTCAGCTCTTCAGCTCAAGGCTAGCGCTCTACCACTTGAGCCACAGCACCACTTCTGGCTTTTTCTGCTTATGTGGTGCTGAGGAATCGAACCTAGGGCCTCATGCATGCAAGGCAAGCACTCTACCACGGAGGCACCTTCCCAGCCCTCCCTTGGCCTTTTTATTTGATAATATATGGGTGGTTATCCCTCTAGGTTAACAAATAGAGCTTAAAATATGTTTTTAATTGTGGTAAAATACTCATAAATTTTCCCATCTATATGTTTGTATACTAGGGGTCTGGGTGAAGGGGTGTGTGTGTGTGTACGTGTACGTGTACGTGTACTGGTACTTGAACTCGGGGCCCGCGCAATGTCCTTGGGCTTCTTTTTGCCCAATGCTCTACCACTTGAGCCACAGCTCCACATCTGGCTGTTTTTGGTAGGTGGTTAATTGGATATACGAGTCCCACAGACTTTTCTGCTTGAGCTGGCTTTGAATTGCATCAGATCTCAGACTCCTGAGTAGCTAGGATTATAGGCATGGTGCCTGCCATGTTGAAATATACTTTTATATCAGTGCTTTTATTTCTGTAGGATGGGTTCCTCAAAATCAGATTGTTAACGCAAATAAGTTAACAGCACTCCTCTCCCCCCACCCTGCTCAGAGTGACACCAGTCACCATCCAACAGGCATCCGTCACACAGTTCTCTCAAATGTCTCTATGTATTGAGTCTTAGGAAGTCTATCAGTTTCGTTGGTAGCATCTCCCATGCATGAAATTCGTAGCAGTGCTTGGGTTGCAATCCTTATGGGACACTTCACTGTTAATAAATTAATTCTGCTTTTGTTTTCCCAGACTTCCTAGGCATGAAGATGATTGGAGAGCTGCTCCGGATGTCCGGGGCCTTTTTCATGAGGCGTACCTTTGGTGGCAATAAACTCTACTGGGCTGTGTTCTCAGAATACGTAAAAGCGATGTTGCGGGTAAATGCCAATGATAACTCCAGCTCCGCTTGCTTGTTTAAATTCTTTAATGTCTGGACGGACCTCTTAGCAGTTTACTCCGCCACCCTCCCCGACCCCAACCCTAAGCCGTGTCTCTGCACTGTGTCTGCCTGCCATGGTGAGGGGCTGGGGTGGAGGGAGGCATGGGAAAGAAAAAATCAGAAGAAACATTTATGGGTCTAGGAGTGTGGCTTGGTGGAAGATCCCTTGCCCAGCATGCATAGGGCCCGAGCTCCATACCCAGAAACACCCCCCCCCTCCAAAAAAACAAAACAAAACAAAAACCATGTAATTATTTTGAGAATAGGCAATGAAGCATGTATTATTTTGAGAGTAGGCAATCGTTTTGTGCTTTGCTTTTTCTCCTGAAGAATGGTTATGCTCCTGTTGAATTTTTCCTGGAAGGGACAAGAAGCCGCTCTGCCAAGACCTTGACTCCTAAATTTGGTAGGTGGCTTACAGACTAGGAAGAAAGATGGTAAACTTGAAGGCTTTCGGTATGCTGTCATTATCCTGCTAAGTAGAACTTAATGCTTTCAACTTATTTTTTGCAAGACAGTCTTGATCTTTGTTAACGTAACTGTTGATGGAACTCTTTATGGGCTTACTGTGCCTGCTCACTGTGGATCTTCGTATCTGTGTGCCCTGCCCTCGGGTGTGCATGATGACAGCCTTTCTCCCTGTGTTTGCAGGTCTCCTGAGTATTGTGATGGAACCATTTTTTAAAAGAGAAGTTTTTGATACCTACCTTGTCCCAATTAGCATCAGTTATGATAAGATTTTGGAAGAAAGTCTTTATGCCTATGAGCTTCTAGGAGTTCCTAAACCGAAAGAATCTACAAGTGTACGTGAGGAGAGCCAAACTTGTTTTCTTTGAGTGTAGAGAATATCCACCATCTGACTTACAAATGTGCTCCTTTTGTTCTCTGCTGTCTGGTGTCTTCTAGGGGCTGCTGAAGGCCAGAAGGGTTCTCTCCGAGAACTTCGGGAGCATCCATGTGTACTTTGGAGACCCCATGTCTCTTCGGTCTCTAGCAGCTGGGCGGATGAATCGGAACCCATACAACTTGGTCCCCAGGTGCAGTGCCTGTGTTTTAATACTTGACAGAGAAGTGGGATTAAAATCCAAAAGTACAGTGCTGGGTGCTACTGGCACCTTAGCTACTCAAGCGCCTGAGATCTGAAGATCTTGATTCAAAGTCAGCCCAGGCATCGAGGCTCTTAACTCCAATTACCCACCAAAAAGCTGGAAGTGGAGCTGTGACTCAATGGTAGAGTGTTAGCTTTGAGCAAAAAAGCTCAGGGACAGCACCCAAGGAGTTGGAGATTCAGTGTTGGCTCACACAAAATAAATGGTGACTCTGGAGGCTGAACATTGTTGCGTTCATATCGCACATTGTCAAGGAAGTCATTTCATGTTATGTTTGTCAATGGAAAGGTTCAGTTGAGGAAGAATTGTGAGAAGCCTGGTACCAGTGGCTCACATCATAATCCTAGCTAGTCAGGAGGCTGAGATCTGAGGATCATAGTTCAAAGCCAGTTCAGGCAGGGAAGTCTGTGAGACTCTTTATATCTAACTGACCACCAGAAAACTAAGTGCAGCTGTGGTTCAAAGTGGTAGAATGCTTGCTTTGAGCGAAATTGCTCAGAGACAGTGCCCAGGCCCTGAGTTCAAGCTCTGTGTTGAGGGGGAAAAAAAGGCCAGCAGGACATGTATGTAGAAGATGTCATCCTTGGGAGGCCAGGAAGCTGTGGTGCTGTTGTTAACAGGTGCATGTCACAGGGTGAGGCACTAGAGGTGGGCTGGCTGAGTCCCAGCTCCAGAAAACAAATTGAGCCTTCAGGACTTCTTTCATGCTATAGAGCATCCTTACATGTTTTCTTATTTAGAGGTTTATGGTTTGTATTTAGATAGTATGCGTGGGCACTTGAGACAGGCAATCAAGTGCCCAGCCAGGCCCATCAGGAGCTCTGGCGATTCCTTCATCACAGGTACCTAGCTGGCAGCTAGCCTGATCACAGAAAGCCTTCCTTGAGTGTGCGTGGGCCTGACCAGGTGTTACAGGTTAGGCACCTGTGTTAGCTGTCATTTCCTTCTTATAGCTGCTTGTGTGTCCCCTGCATGTCTCTGCTGTACCCAGCTAAGTGTGTGTTCCACATAGGGTTCGGTGTGAACAGGCTGTCGGCCAAGGCTGGGGCAGGCACCTATGGCACATAGTTGAGTGACCTCCCATGCACAGCTCGCTCTGACAGCAGAGTGCACTGGTGGTCCACAGGCTAGGGTTTGGAGAGGCAGTCATGTTCCCAGCAGGCAAGTAGCATCCTGTTAACAAAGAATCCTTGTTTTGCCTAGAATGGGAACTACTAGCATTTCTTGTCACTTGTTAAGAAGGCTCTGTAGCTGTTTGGATAGATGACAATGTAGCAAAGCAGGGAAACGTTCTTGCTTGTGGCTTGAGAACATGGTTGGCAGAAGCATGAGAGGCCTGAGGGGAGCCAGAAGCAGAAGAGAGGCCTTCTGAGGGGGAGCAGAAGTGTAACGTGTCCTGTGCCTTCCTCATAGGTGCATCCCTCAGAGACAGTCAGAGGACATGCATGCCTTTGTTGCCGAAGTTGCCTACAAGATACAGCTTCAGCAAATTGAAAACCTGGTTCTGAGCCCCTGGGCCCTGGTAGTTGCTGTTCTGCTTCAGAACCGGCCATCCATGGACTTTGATGCTCTGATAGAGAAGACTTTGTGGTTGAAGGGTGTGGCCCAGGCATTTGGAGGCTTCCTCCTGTGGCCCGGTACGTGTGTGATACAGCGACACGAGTGTGTTTGCTTCCTATGGCTCTAGTGCCCAGGTGAAGCCAGGGCTGGGCCTTGGCTGGGCAGGTGTTCATTCACTGCAGCCACAGACCTCACGCTGTGTCCCAGACCTGAAAACCTGCGTAAGACAACAAGGCGCAGAACCCTCATCTGCTGTCCCACTCACAATGGGCTGCCCAGGCCAGGGACCACCGGAGAGTAGCCGTTCTCAAGTCAGTTCCCCTCCAGGACCCTCAGCCTTGAGGATAGAGTACTGCAGCAGAGTGGAGAGTGGTGACCTGAGGCTTTCCCTGTCTGCCTCCCTTGTGATCAGGAGTTCAAGGCTGGCCTTGCAGGGCTTGATACATAAAGTTGGCATGGTGAAAATGCCCTGGAACTTACAAACCTCTGTGTTGGGAACTGGGGTGCCATAAGGATGGTGAGCTCACATTTATAATTTTATTTAAAATTGTGCAGCACAGCTGGAAATACTTTCTGTTTAAACCTAGCTTGTGGTTTTATAGTCAGGTACATGGTGTTCACACTGGGCCCTCCTGTGTTGGGTCCTTCCAGAACATAGGGCTGGCCAGGTGGTCCCTGGAAGATGGAGGAGAGGGCTGTGGAGCGGAGACCAGTGGCGGCTGCTCTGCACTGTGAGGGCCCTGGAGCTCACAGGGATAGGGTTCGCGCATAGGGAGATTGTGTGTGTGTGTGTGTGTGTGTGTGTGTGTGTGTAGAACCTGAGCTGGGCCAGCTAGCGAGATTGTGTGTGTGTGTGTGTGTGTGTGTGTGTGTGTGTGTGTAGAACCTGAGCTGGGCCAGCTAGGGGTCAGTGCCTGGCACCAAGGCAGGCGCTGCTGCAGGTGTGTTCCAAGGGTGGCACTGAGGCGGGAAGCCTGTGGCTAGTAGAGTCTTGCAGGCTATGGGCCTTCACTGGGCTCCCCAGGGTGTGGGAAGTGGTTCTGGATTGTCACAGGCCTTTGGAAACCACACTGCTGCCAACTGCCAGCTCTATGGAGAGAGCAGGGTGGGGCAGAGGAGGCTGGGGTGCTCACACCCCTCCCCCCTACTGTCTTGTGTGTAGATAACAAGCCCCCAGAAGAAATTGTCCAGTCCAGCTTTCTTCTGCACTCCAACCTCGTCAGCCTTGTTGGAGACCAGGTGGTTCTGCACATGAAGCTGGAAGACTCGGAAGTGGTTGACGGCCTCCTCGTCCAGCATATCACCCTCCTTATGTGCTCAGCTTATAGGAACCAATTGCTCAACATTTTTCTTCGTCCTTCCTTAGTAGCTGTAGCCTTGCACATGACACCTGGGTTCAGGAAAGGTAACTTTCTGGAGTGTGACCTTGAAATTCGGAAGAGGCCTGGCCTTCCAGTTCCATGAAGGGAGCAGTGTTTGGAGCCTTGTAAAGTGCGGCCACATCTGTTTAGCCCACACGCCAGCAAGGACCGGGCTTTACACTCAGAAGAAGTTAGGTTTGTTCCCTAAATACGTGGCCATCTGCTTAGAGTTTTAGAATCGGAGGGAGCAGTTGTCCCACATCTGTAGTCCTGGCTGCTTGGGAGTCTAAGTCAGGAGACCTGCCCACGTTGTTAGACAGGCTATACAATGCAGCGAGACCTTGTCTTTCAAAAGCAAAATCTTTTTAACTAGGAAGAGTTAAAATCCCTTATTGGAAACTTTCTATCATGAAGGATAGTGAGTGCTGCCAGTGAGTGGTTGCCCAGTTCTTCCCCTCTGGTGGTTCCTCACCCCAGAGCAGGTGGGCAGCGCCTTGTTAGCACATGCCCTGGGGAGCTGAAGTCTGGGGAGGTGGGCCGCTGAAGAGCGCTTCTGGAAAGAGCCTGTGCTGAAGGCCGCAGTGTCTGCCCCGGTCCCCTGAAAACCCTTGGACAGGGAGCCCAGGAGAGTCACATGAGGGTAGAAGTTCTACCAGGTGTCTGTGCAGGTCTGACTTTGAACCACTGTGGGTGCCACAGCAGTGTTTGGTGGTTCTGCTTCCTCCACAGTCCGCAGGCAGCATGCTAAAAAACGTAGCAAAGATGTAGAGGATGGGTTGTAGAGGGAAACAGGGACAAGTCCCTTCCTGCTCTGCTGGGCACCCAGGGGTGGAGGGTGGGTCCCTGCCGAGAGCTTCAGTGGCACGCAGATGCTGTGGGTGAGGCTGGGGCTGGTGTCAACCTCTTCCAAACATGAAACTCTGTCCCCATTACATGAGTGACAGCTTGCCTCTGGGGACTTCCACCGGGGTGTCGTGGGCTTCGCGGTATGCCCTAATGGTGGAAAGCAAAGTTGTGATTTCATGTAATGGATTCTTTGCAGAGAATGTCTTCAGTTGCTTCCGCTTCCTGCGTGATGTGTTTTTAGATGAGTTCATATTCCTTCCAGGAAACACAATCAGGGTAAGTCCTGACAGTAGATGACAGCGAGGCTACAGGCTTAGATTTGGGGGTGTCTCATGTAGCGTGTGTCTGGATTTTGGCGTGTCTCGGATAGTGTGCATCTGGATTTTGGCATGTCTCAGCGTGTGTCTTAGGTAATGTTTGTCTACATTTCAGCATGTCTCACGTAGCATGTGTCTGGATTTTGGTGTGTCTCGGGTAGTATGTATCTGGATTTCAGTGTCTTACTTAGTGTGAGTCCATCCCTTCGCAACACAATGAGACATGAGGATGCCCACAACTCACCAGACATTGCTCTGATTCCTGGTCAGGCTTAGCTAATATTATAGACATTGATAAGAGGAAGGTCATTCTGAACAGCCAAAACAGCTACTGTAAATAACTCTCTTGTGTTAAGTATTTAGAAATCAGCACACTGTTTGTTTTGTCAGCCACAGCGCCATTGTGGGGATATCAAGTGTGGTGTTGCCTGGCGTGTGAACTACAGGGAACAGTCAGATTCCGGGGACTGGCTAAGGGCCTCTTGGGGCAGGCAGGCAGGGGTAGAATAAGGCGGGTAGAGCTGTACGTTCTGTGGGCTGTGCCAGGAAGCAGCTTTGCCTTTCCCTGTGGGGGGAGAGGGAAGGAGGGGGAGGGGTGCCTGGATTTCAAGGGTATTTTAGGACTGGTGTGTGCACTTGCTGTTTAAGTCCAGGACACAGGCTGTGAGGAGGCAGCACTTCACCCCGTCGGGACCCCATGGGTGTTTGTGTTGTGCTAGGGCAAGTGTGTGGCAGAGTGATTGTGGGAGGGCTGTGGGACTGCATGCCCTGATTCTCGTGTGCCCGGTAGCTAAATGTGCTGCCCATGGCTTCCTTTTTCCTTGAAGGACTTTGAGGAAGGCTGTTACCTGCTTTGTAAAAGCGAAGCCATACAGATTTTTGGGAAGGATATCCTCATCACAAAGAAAGGAGACGCTGTGTTAGATTTTCTAGTGAGACTCTTTAAGCCTTTTGTGGAATGTTACCAGGTATGTAAATGTTGCAGTCTTCCTTATGCCCCCATATCAAATACTGTCCCTCCAACTCTGCTCATATTTCTGCTCTGCGGGTAATGTCTCCCTGAGGAGGAGGATGGAACCAGATAGCACCTCAGTACCCAGAAAGGATAGCCACTCATGAGGTCCTGTTGTCAGGCCGTGTCCAGCTTGATTTGGGGGTGTTTGATACATAGTAGGCTCTAAATGAATGTAGACTTGAATACCTCATAATGTCAGTTACTGATGCTACTAAATGCTAGTGTTGGAGGGAAAGTACATGTCTGGAGGGTGGAGAGTGCATGGGGGCAGGGACAGGAAGAGGGGCTGGTGCTCATCAGGTGTGTGGGAGGGGGGACAGGAAGGAGGGGATGATAAGCCCCCCTGGGAATTGCCCCAGGACCACAGGGAGGGCACAGGAAATGCAACCTGTGGTAGCCATGCATGTTAGAGAGGAGAGGGCTCTTGGTTTATCAGCCCAGGGGATTCCTGGTAAAGGGAAGTTCTGCCTTTCTTCCATAGCATGCTCCATACTGTTAGATGTAGTAAGAGAAAAGACCAAAGTTAGACCTAACTGGCTTCTGTCTTCCCAGGTGGCATAAGAGATAGGAAGCTGTAGTAAGTAACTTCCTTATAGCCAGCCAAAATGAGAACTACAATTTCAACAAATATCCATAGTATTTCAGACTTTTTTTTTTTTAAAAAACTGGGGCTTGAACTAAGGGCCTCATGTTCTAATTAGGTCTTTTTCACTCAAGGCTAGTGCTCTTCCACTTTCACCACAGCTCCAATTCTGGCTTTGCTGGTTAATTGGAGATACGAGTCTCATATTCATTTGAATTTGATCCTCAGATCCCAACTTCCTGAGTAGCTAGGCTTATAGGCATGAGCCACCAATACTCAGCTCCAGACTTTCTTCTAATTGTAAAATTTAATAAAAACTAATATCCTAAGAACTCTCCTGCTTTTCCTGCTCAGACCTTGGAGATGTGCATTCTAGGCAATACATTTACTGGACTTGACTATTTTACCCTCTCTACTCCTCTCGTAATCAGATAATTTGCAGATACCTCTTGGATGAAAAGGAGGAGTGCTTCACTGAGAAACAGTACTTGGCTGCAGTTAGGAGATTCACAAACCAGCTTCTCGATCAAGGTCAGTTACAACTCAGTCTGGTGATTTCTTTTAGGTGAGAATGAAAGTAATCCACTAACCCTTTCTGTTCCTCATTGTAGGTGCCTCTCAGTGTTACGATGTATTGTCTTCTGATGTGCAGAAAAATGCCTTAGCAGCTTTTGTGCGACTTGGTGTGGTAGAAAAGAGGAAGGTGTAAGTACTATTTGAAAAACTTAAAGAGATGTATGGGAAATGCACTGTGGCGCCTACCCTTCCACACATATAGTCATTCAGTCAGTGTGAACTACCTGAAAATCCTGTACCACGTGAAACCTAGGCAGGAAGGGGAGTACTAAGCTGGGCACTGATGGCTCATGCTTCTAATCCTAGCTACTCTGGAGGCTTATATCTGAGGATCAAGGTTTGAGAACAGCTTAGGCAGAAAAGTCCATGAGCAGAAAGTCAGACATGGAGCTCAAGTGGTAGAATGTCAGCCTTGAGCAAAAAAGTGAAGTAAGTGCAGTAGGGCCTTGAGTAAAAGCCCCAGTACTGGGAAACACAAACACACACACACAAAAGCCGGGCAAGTAAAAGCCCCAGTACTGGGAGACACACACACACACACACACAAGCCGGGCAAGTAAAAGCCCCAGTACCCAGTACTGGGACGGACACACACACACACACCGGGCACTGTAGGACCTTGAGTAAAAGCCCCAGTACTGGGACACACACACACACACACACACACACACACACACACACACACACACACACACACACACACACACACACACACACACACACACACACACACACACACACACACACACACACACACACACACACACACACACACACACACACACACACACACACACACGGCACTGTAGGGCCTTGAGTAAAAGCCCCAATGAGGCTGAGATCAGAGGATCAGAGAATTGTGTTTCTAAGCAAGCCAAGGCAAGGAGAGTCCATGAGACTTTTTTTTTTTTTGGCTTTGAGCTTGAATTCTGGGCCTGGGTTCTGTCCCTGAGCTCTTTTTTGCTCAAGGCTAGCACTTTACCACTTTGAGCCACAATAGCACTTCTGGTTTTCTGGTGGTTAATTGGATAGAGCCTCATGGGCTTTCTTGGTCAGCTTGCTTTGAACCTTGATCCTCAGATCTCAGCCTCCTGAGTATCTAGGATTCCACAGGCATGAGCCACCAGTGTCTGGCTCATGAAATTCTTATCTCCAGGGCTGGGAATGTGGCTTAGTGATGAAGTGTTTGCATGAATCCCTGGGTTCCATTCCATTCCTTAGTAACACATAAACAGAAAAGGCCAGAAGTGTCGCTGTGGTGGAAGTGGTAGACCGCTAGCCTTGAGTAAAAGAAACTAAGGGACAGCACCCTAGCCTTGAGTTCATTAAGCCCCAGGAGTAGCAAAAACAAAACAACTAACTCTTATCTTCACTTAACCACTAAAAAAAAGGCACTGTGGCTCTAGTGGTAGAGCATTAGCCTTGAGCATAAAAGCTCAAGGACAATGCCCAGACCCTCAGGTCAAGCCCCAGACTAGCACCAAGAAAAAAGGAGGGACAGAAGAAAGGAAGGAGAGGAAGGGAGGGAGGGAGGAAGGGAAGAGGGTAGGGACTATAGGAACAAGTGTTCTGACCTACCTATAGAAACTATAAGAAAGACTTGGGAACGTGTTTGTGAGGGGAGGTGAGTGGGTGATTGGTGGTTTCCTGCGGGAGCAAATGTACCTAGCATAAAGTGTGGTCAGGAGAAGGAAGCACAAAGCCCAGGAGACGAGACCAGGGTTTCCCAGTGCTGCAGACACCTGCATAAGTAAAACGCCATGGGCTGTGGGATTGGGAACAACATACCCATCCATGCAGAACTTGTTTTTCACCCCGAACTGTGCAGTAACAAAGCTTGTTCTTTTCTTCAGAAACGATGGCTACGTATTTAGTGTGCAGAAATCTGCCACCACCAGATTAGAAGAAATGCTTGGTGAGTGCAGCGTCCTCTGATAAACGTGTTTATGAATATATTATAGCAAGAGGGTATGCTACATCTCCAAAAGGAACAATAATATATATTATTCTTATATAAATAGAACTATTCAGTCTAGAATTTTCTCAAGGAAACTAAAGAGAAAGTGCAAAGAAAATTAAGCAAGAAAACACAATAGTCATAAAATGGGCAGACTTGTACAACACAAAGATTCTGCTCCCAGCAGAGAGGGGTGTGTGACTGGGGTGTGGATCCCTTGGCTGGCTGTGGCAAGCACTGGTCCTGATTCTTGCTTGCTTCCCTCTCTGTGGTCTTGGCAAGGACTGGGGTCAGAGTTGAGCACTGACTGGATGTGCAGCTCACATCCCTTGTAGCTGTCTGTGGCGAGATTCTCCTCTAGTCCTGGGTCTTGCTTTGTTGTCCTGGCCAGAGATGTTAGCACAGACTTTGTGGATGCACAGCTCCAGCTAGTGTATAGCTGTAAGAGGACCACTCACCCTTGTGCTAGGTCCTGTCATCGTGTAAGTGAAGACCCCTGTATAGAGAGTAGGCTCTGTGTGTGTGCACTAGTGCCTGCCTGAGTGAACAGAGCACTGTTAACAGAGATAATGGGTGATTTCAGAAGAGGACATACTAACATAAGCCAGTGGCTCATGTCCATAATCCTAGCTACTCAGGAGGCTGAGATCTGAGGATTGTGGTTCAAAGCCAACCCAGGCAGGAAAGTCCATGAGACTCTTATCTCCAGTTAATCAACAGAAAACCGGAAGTGGAGTTGTGGCTCAAGTGGTAGAGTGCTCACCTTGAGCTGAAGAGCTAAGGGACAGGGCCCAGGCCCAGAGTTCAAGCCCTACAACCGACCAAAAAATGTGTGTGTGTGTGTGGATTATATTGAATATGCATTATATCGCTGAGTATGGATATTCTTACCAATAGCATCTTTGTATCTAATCCTATGCTAGGACTGCATGAGGGAGCTTTGGGTAGATGCGTTGGCGGGGGAGGGAGGCAGGGCAGTAGGAAAATTAGGACTGGGCCATGGAAGGAGAGTGACCGAGGAGCGGGGGAAGAGTAGTAGAATTGTTGATGTGGGTGGGAGGTCGGCCCATTTGTCAGAATCAATCTTCCATGTATGTCATGCCCGATAACAGTGCACTTTGAAACTCAGGCAAGATCTGGAGGGGAATGGGGATTCCTGTGGGCAGCAGCTGGAGTGGGCAGTGCGCTCCCCTGTGCCCCGCTGGCTGTCTCGGTGTTTGCCATATCTGCAGAGCAGACCCCCCAGTCTTTCGCCAAGGCCAGGGAACAAGAGAAGACAGTGATTGTCGCTCTGTCTCTTGTGTGTCTCAGGTTGTAAGACGCCAGTAGGAAAACCTGCCACCGCGAAACTTTAATAATCGCCAGATGGTTGGTCATGTAACTACTGCCACAAAGAAGATACCACAAACAATGGAAAAGAAGAGCCACATCCTCATGAGCCGCACCTCGTGGCCCATGGACATAGCAGAGAGGAAGAGGTGATCAGAGTGACCCCTCCGTGCAGTTGAAGTCGTTCCTGTCAACCCTGTGCATGTTTTAAAATAAAACAGTCTTTTTGAAAACACTCAGGAATCCGGCAAAGCCAGCCCTGCCTGGCTGGACACTCTCAGCTTCCTGCTGGCTTCTCAGTTGCAGTACATGGCGGCTGGTGAGCATTTCCTACACAAAGTCCGAAACACTGACTCCACAGGAGCAGTGTTGGTCATACCCAGGCTCACTGCAAGTACTGTATCCAATGGTCGTGCCGGTCAATGACGCACACATAAGACGCTGAGAGTCAGATCCCAGGAGAGCTCTGTCATTAGCACTCGTCCTAAGATGTCCAAAGTGGACCCAGTCTGAATGGCTTTGGGCATTCTGGGTAAGGGGCAGGAAGCTTATCCTGGTCCTCGGCAGTCAGCGTCTCTGTCAGGTCCAACAGGAGTCTGCGCTGGGCTCGATGGAGGGAGGGAGGTAGAGTGATGTGTGCAGCTAGAACAGGGATGAGAAGGCCCCTGGGTGGTTCTAGGGGACCTAAAAGAAAATCACATAGTCACCACCTCAGCGGTGGGTGTGCCAGTCGTCTTGGGCTGCTGTAGCAGAGTGCTCAAACACAGACATTCACTTCTCACAGTTGAAAGGGTAAGAGCCAGGGTGCTCCCGAGCCTGTCTGTGGACTTAGTGCCGTCTCCTGTGACCTCTGTACCATGTGCAAGCACACATGCATGCCCACACATGCACACAAGTATATGTGTGCACTGTTGAACGTGTATGCGTGTACACACGCCTATAGACTGGACGGGAGGTGAGCATTTGTTATCTCCTCTAATGAGATACTGGTTCTAGCCCAGTGTGGGTTGCAGGGAAAGGCTGGCTGTGTGGCATTGTCACTAACTGGCTGCAAGGTATGCTTCATGAAGTATTTCAACCACTCAGTCTGTATACGTATATTTTTTTATGATACTCTTGCTGGACACGTGTGTACCGAAGGAGAAAATGATCTTTGACCTTCATTCATTCATTTGCCAGCCCTAGGACTTGAACTCAGGGCCTGAGTTTTTTCACTCAAGGCTGGCTGTTTACCACTTGACCAGAGCTTCACATTGCAGCATTTTAATGGTTAATAAGTTAGAAGAGTCCTGTGGACTCTCTGGGCCAGGCTGGCTTTGAATTGTGGTCCCTCAAATGCTGGCTTCATGTTTTTTAGACCTGTCTACTGCACAGTGGGCTTAAGCTACAGAGCAGCTGCAGCTAGTTAGATGTGTCTCGTAGCCAGCTCTGGCTTTAAAGAAAGCAGCGAAGGGTCTGGAGCTCTAGGTGTCATTGCCAGTCCCTTCAGCCATTCTCCCTATGAGACTCCATGTAAGCCTCAAATTGCCAAAACACAGGTGCTTGCCAGACCAGGCACTGTACTCTCAGCCCACACCACCAGTCTTGCCTCTACTTCTAAGTCAGTCAAAGACAGAAAGGCCCAAAACATTACTTTCTCAAGACTGTCTCTACCTTAGGCACAATGTGAGGCAATGGCTAAGAATGTGAGTCTACAAGTGGAGAGTTCAAGACCCAGCCCCGCAATGTCTAGGGTCCATGTAGGTCAGAAACATTCAAGTCCAAGCCACTGGACAACTCAGCCCAGGGCCCCGGACTCTCCCTACACAGTCCCATGTCCCAAGAGGGTCCTGCCGCATGCCACCAGCCTGGGGAAAAAAATTGAAATTTGCACTCCTTTGTATAACTACTCCCCAAGGTAAGAGAGATGTCAAAAAAGAAGTTTGTCCAAACCTCTGGTAGCTGTTAGAGCAGGATACAGCAACAGGATGCCCCATGGACTTGCAAGTAATACAAGTGTGGAACTGGGGAGCTGAGTTCCTGGCTCCCGTGGGTTTTGTGTCTGGTCCGGCCTGCCCGCCTGCCTGTGAATCCTTGACTCCATGTCACAGTCTTGTCCCGCCACAGGCCACCACAGCAGGCCACAGATGAAGGTTCCACATATGAGTGAGAAGAGTGTTGGGACCCAGTGGCAAATACTGAGGCAGTCCTTGGCTCTATGTGTAGCTGGTACCTTGCTTCCTGCTGGACAGACCCTGATCACACGCCCTCGGGCAATGGCAGCAAACAGTCACACCCACTTCCACACTCACCTGCCACATTCAGGGAGCCGAGCATTGCTGGAAATCCACTCCATCACTGCCTAGGGTACAAAGACTCCTGCCACCTTCAACATTGGCCTGGCTGTATCTCTCTCCCCCTTTCTCCCTCTCCCTATCTCTGCCCCCCCCCCCCCCAGCCCCCTTCTCTCTCTTGCCAGTCATGGGGTCTAGGCACTCCTGAGCCTCTACACTCAAGGCTGGCGCTCTACCACTGGAACCATAGCGCCACTTGCAGTTTTTTTGAGTAGTTTATTGAGATAAGTCTTACCAAATTTTCTGCCTAGGCTGGCTTTGAACCATGATCCTCAGATCTCAGCCTCCTAAGTAGCTAGGGTTACAGGCATGAGCCACCAGCGCTCGGCTTCTTTTTCAAATTGTTGAACCTCAGAAATACAAAGCTCCTAGCAGATTCAAGCACACTTTGCTAGCTCCCGCTCAGTGCTGGTTGCTTGAGACCTGCTGCTCCTGTCCGCCCTGGAATTCCAGTGTAGCCTATCGCCAGATGTGAAAGAGATGAGTATTTCAGACCCTCTGAATGTTTGAGAATGTCTTGGGATCTTGAAAAACATTTCTGTCGGACTCAGCAGAGCCAGGCCTCAGGAGGTACAGCAGCCTGGGTGGCTGCAGGCACAAGCCTCAGATCTGGGCACTGCCACTGGAGGCTTGAGGAGGGCAGGCCCAGTGGAAGGAAGGACAGGGTGGGTACAGGACACACTGGGTCCCCCCACCCTGCCTTTCTTTTCCTCCCACCCCCACCCCTACCATAGTGCGCCGTCTTACCAGAGGCTAAAATGGTGGGGACAAGCAGTAATAGGGTGAAACCAGGACAGCCTTGCCAGGGCAGCAGAAAGCTAGCTGACACATGGGAGCTGTGGAGGGCTCCTGTGTAGACTTAAGGTTAGAATGGCACTTCAAGTCAGTGAAGAAAAAGGATGATTCAAAATTGTGGTGCTTGCTAATTATCTGTGGGAATCTACAACTCCGATGACATTAAGAAAAAAACCTACATTCTTACAGAATAAAGGTTCACTTCTTTACCAAGGTTTGAACTCATGCTGCTTCAGGAGGGCAGGCTCTTTGCTTTTTTTGGAGATGGAGTCTCCATTTCAACCTTACAGGTCTGGCCTCGGTAACTAGGATTATATGCTTGTGTCTCCAGCATATGGTACAGTTAATTTCCTAAATATACAGCAAACTCCAAAATCATAACATACAATCTTAAGAGAAAAAAGGCAGCAGACAGGATGGGTACCTTAAAAATAAAAGGGCTGGGCAGGCACCAGTGGCTCACACCTGTCATCCTATCTACTCAGGAGGCTGAGATCTGAGGATCAAAGCCAGCCCAGGCAAGAAAAGCCGTGAAAGTCTTATCTCCAGTAAATCACCAGAAAACCGGAGATGGTGCTGTGGCTCAAGTAGTAGAGCGCTCGCCTTGAGCTGAAGAGCTGAGGGATAGCGCCCAGGCCAAGTTCAGGCCCCACAACCGACAAAAAATAAAAAGAAGCTGGGCAGTGGTGACTTACCTATAATCCTAGTTACTCAGAAAGGGAGATCTGACGATCACTGTTCAGCACCAGATTTGCCCAGACAGGCAAATCTGCAAGATTCATTTCTAGTTAATCAGCAAAAAGCAAGGACGTAGAAAAACAACTAGTGGCAGGGCACTAGCCATGAGTGAAAAAGCTGAACAAGAGTGCCAGGCCAGAGCTGGAAGATGGTCGTGTGGTAGACAAGCAGCCTTGCATGCATGAGGCCTTGGTTCGATTCCTCAGCACCAGGTAAGCAGAAAAAGCCAGAAGTGGTGCTGTAGCTCAAATGGTAGAGTGCTAGCTTTGAGCTGAAGAGCTGAGGGACAGCGCCCAGGCCCAGAGTTCAGGCCCCATGACCAAAAAAAAAAAAAAAAAATGCCAGGCCGAGTTAAAGCCGCTGTTCTGCATACAGAGACAAAAAAAGGTGTTTAATTCAGAGCCACACCTCCACTTGTGGCTTTTTGGTAGTTAATCAGAAATAACTTTCTTGCCTGGGCTGGCTTTGAACTGTGATCCTCAGCTCTCAGCCTCTGACTAGCTAGGATTACAGGTGTGAGCCACTGGTGCCCAGCATTACTATTTCACAGAAAATTATTAAAATGAGTAAATCTTAAGAGGACTCATCACCAAATGAATAATTTATTGTTTATGGAAACAATGTTTTCCTGCATTGCTGGGGAGAATGCAAAATCATACAACCTTCCTAATAACCAACTGGGCAATGTCTACCTAAATTTAAAAACTATAGTTTGGCAGGGCACCGGTGGCTCACGCCTGTAATCCTAGCTACTCAGAAGGCTGATATCTGAGGAATCTAGGTTCAAGCCAGCCTGGGCAGGAAAGTCCATGAGACTCTTTTTCTTTTCTGCCGGTCCCAGAGCTTGAACTCTGGGCCTGGACATTGACCTTGAGCTTCTTTTGTTCAAAGCTACCACTTGAGCCATAGATCTACTTCCAGCCTTTTCTGTGTGTATGGAACTGGGGACTTGAACCCAGGGTTTCATGCATGCTCTGCAAGCACTCTAACCACTAATCCATGTTCCCAGTCTCCATGAGACTTTTATCTCAAATTAACTGTCAGAAAACCAGAAGTGGAATTCTGGCTCAATGTGGTAGAATTCTAGGGCCTCTTGAAAAACAAAAAAATGCTCAGAGACAGTGCCCAGGCCCTGAGTTCAATCCTCATGACTGATAAACTAGTTTGGTTGCATAATATCTAGAGTGTATAAATTATTCATAAGGTGTCATACATGCACACATACCTATTACATATCTATGGAACATTTTAGGATATTTTTGTAATCATAAAAATCTAAACCAATAAAGTATTAGGAAAAGCAAAATTATGATTTATCCCTTAATGGACTGAAGACTGTTTCCTCAAAGACACTGAGGTACAGCTATAG